GAGATTAAAAGTGATCAAAGATTCAAATCTCTTCTTATGTTTCACACTTTAACTCTTATTCTTACACACGATCCTTCGTCTCTATATATATGGAGTTCAAATGAGAACAAGGCCAAAGTAAAAAAACACTAGAATACTCACATCATATGTGATTTTAGAGTAAAATCACATGTGATTAAGAAATTGATCAAACCTACCTCTATATATCTGTTGCTAAGATTTTATCCGATAAAACACAAACATCCATAAAATACTTAAAAAAAAAAGGAAATACGATATTAATAATCCAAAACCATGCATGTGCTCCCAACCACCTTCAAAACGACAGATACTTGATGCCTACCTTTTGTTCGTATTTTTATTTTAATTAATAAATAAATAAAAACAAATTAATTACAACGTATATAATCTCAAACTCATAATATACTATATTGAAAATACCTATAATCAATACAAACTTTTCATACTAAAGGCTCTTTTGTCTAGTGGTATCGTAGTCTTTAGCCTCCTAGGAGGTCAGAGGTTCAAACATCAATAAATGTGAGAAGAGTGTATGAGTTTATTTGTTGCATTTACCGTATACAAATATTATATACTTCAAAAAAAAAATACAAACTTTTCATACATAAAGAAAAATAAGCCATGATTACAATTTGTTAAATAGGTTAGAAGGCGTTTTTATATATTGGACCGTTTTTCGTCTGGGTGTAGAGCGGTCGAGGGTCATGATGATTGAATTAGTTACCATGGAGTTGGGTTAAATGAATCGGTTTGGTTTGATTTCAGAGCAAAACAGTTCTGTTCAGGTTTAAGAAAAATAGTCAAATTACGCGTTATCGACTTCCACAAGGACAAAAACTTAATGTCAAAATCAATGATGTATTATGATCATGTTTTGCATTATTAAATCCAGCTTTCTAAATACAACTGTCATTCAAAATATATGTAACTAATACATGCATTACACGTAGAACGAAATAAGCCATGAGTTAATTGCATGATCAAACTGACATTTCGTTACAATCTATTAAGAGGTTTAAAGGGAGTTCCACGATTTTCTGGTTAGGGTTTGGAGCAGTTGAGGCTCATGATGATTAAATATGATACTGCAGAGTTAATTAAGTTAAGCGAGTCGATTTAGTTTGATTTTAGAGCAAATCAGTTCTATTCAAGTTCGAAAAAAAGTCAAACTAATTTACGCATTATCCAACTCGTTATGCGAGCCGACTAATCCCAAGGCGACCACCTGCTTTACGAGTAGTTCGGAGTTGCCAGATTTAAACCTCTGTGACCATAAAAGAATTTTTATTTCTTGTTGGATTTGCACTGCACCTAAAACCTCCATGCACTTTTGACCTTTGGAGCTCAAGCTCAAGCTCAAGCTCAAACCAATCAGACACTGCCCTTTTGGTTAAGTTGCAATTTTTAGGACAAATTTAATGTCAAAATCAATGATGTATTATGATCATCTTTTGCTTTATTAAATCCAAGCTTTTTCATGAGATAATACATTTGTCGTCTTCTTTTCAATATATGAGACATCTACCTTTTTAAAACACGGTTAACGCAATAGCTGACCAATTCTTTTGATAGATTCCATTTCTTCAGAAATCATTCTGCGAATCAAACACCCCCTTAAATTTTGATATATAGTTAAAAGGAAACTCATTGAATCTAATGACTTAAAAGTTACCCAAATTATCTATATTGTATTATAAAACATTTGACAAAAACTTTTAAAAATCATTTTTTATGCATAAAATATTGTTTATAGATGCATATTAATTAAAATTCAAGATTACAAGTAAACTGTGCATAGGTACAACTTATTAAAGCTTCATGTTTGAATTCGTGTAACTAACTGCAGATAAACATAATCAAATAAAGTATAAATATCTTATTTTATATATAAAAACATTAAATTAGGATAATTATTGAGTTCTAACAAAATATTTTTATTATTATATTTATAAAAAAATATATTATTAAACCAAAGAAAAATGAACTAAAGAAATACGCAAAAAAAAAATTAATAGTTAGTTTCGTACTAATATTAATATTCTCTTTTCAATTGTTTATGATATCTTCATATTTATATTTTATTCAAAAATAAAAATATTATTGTTTTCTCAAAACCACATAAAACCGTAAGTTATATTTTGGATAAAAGCTGAGATCGCGTGAGAGTTCGATTTCCTTAAGTTATATTTTAACCCAAATCTGTCAAAGCATCACGATATTAACTAGATAATAATCTCAATTTTCTTCAAATACACAACCGTTATCCAACCCGTAAAATTTGCCACCCGTTGCAAACACAATCATTGTTATCTGGAATTACTAACGATAAGTCTAACCAATAAGCCTTTTATTTTGCTGTTATTTGAGCAAAAAGGTTGAATTCTGGCAACTCCTATCGGTTTCACATGAAACCCACATGTGAGAAGACATTTCAGAGCTGACTCAACAAATGATGCCAACAAGAGGTTCAAGCACATTACCAGTACGATTCAAACTCGAACCCGCTATGTATTTGAACAAGAGTCTCCGCCTCTTTACCAACTAAACTACACGCCCAAAACCTTTCACTAAAAAGTGTTTTACACATTTAATACATAATTAGTAAATCAGATATTTTTACCAATTAAATCATTTCATACTTTTAAACAAATAAAACATCTGTTTTCTTCTTAAAACGTTTCTTATAGGGTCCCTGTTTATACACCGAACAAACCGAGCCCTGGAATCGTGTCGTAACTAAAACCCGTTCACTAGACCCGTTGCTCTATATCGTAGCCTACTTTCTATTTATAGTTATGAATAAATACATGAAAAAGAGAAGTCGAAATCATAAAAACCTATAAATACAGGAGACAAACCCCTTGATATGAATTAATTGCATGCACGTATAAAAAACATCAAAAAAAGCCCCATTAAGAAAAGATGATGTATTGATGTCACTTTTGATATTGTAATGGTTTTGCTTCCACACTTTAAATTCAACATCCCAATTTCCTTTTTTCTTGTGGAAAAGCTTTTTGTTTTCTATCTTTTCTTTATTCGGAAAAACGTGTCGATGGGAGGAATTATGGGTGGTTGATATCTTCTTTTGTTAACTAATTTGTTAGTGTTAACTGTATTAATCTAATTAACTGATAGGATTCTTTTGACCTATACATACACAACATATATATATATATATATATATATAGACTTGGAATTATGTGAGATTAGTTTGTTTTCGTGAGACTCTTGAGACCACTTTGTTACACTTGAGACTTTATAGCAAAACGCTATGAAAATAACCTTCACAGTGTTTTTCCTGTGAAGGTTCGCCTTTTTTTTTAACATTCATGACGTTTTGCTGTGAAGTTTCAAGTGTAAAAAAATGGTCTCATGGGTCTCACGAAAACAAGGTGGTCTCACGTGAACTCAACTCTATATATACATGTTATATATGTAGATGAGCGATCAAATGTAAACCACTCATATTTGTACAAACCATGCAAACCACCGTTATCCGTCGATTTTATTGTTTAATTTAATGATTTTGTATCATGAAATTGTTTAACATTATGAAATTGTTTCATACAATACTTTGTAGATGAAGTTGTTTTATATATGATTATGAAATTGTTTCATATAATACTTATGAAATTTTAATGAAATTGTTTCATGTATTTCTTTAAAATGAATATAATGAAGATGATAATATCTATGATTAATACCCTTCACAATAAAAATGATTAATCAACCTCTCATAATAATAAAAAAATTGAAAAATTGAAAAATTGAAAAAAATTATGATTAATTGAATGAGGTTTGTACAATTTGTACAAATAATATGGTTTGTAAAGTAAACCTCCCCCCCCCCCTCTCTCTCTCTCTCTATATATATATATAAATATATATATATGTGTGTGTGTGTGTGTGTGCATGAGGAAATGTATGAACAAAAACATTTGTAGTTTACACAAATATGAGAATATTTAAGCTTGTCATTCTGTTTTAAGTCACAGTTTTATAAGGATTTAAAAGATAGTAAAATATTAAATAAATATTTACTGTTTTGGGGAATATCGAAAACATGTAGGGATAAAATGGAGAAAACAGCAAATCACATAATGAATAGACAAAGCCGATGATTGTGAAGGTGATCATCACTGGGTTTTGATTATCAATACAAAATCATATCCTAAGAAGTTTTTGATTTATCAAAACATTATCACATTATTATCACAGCAGACCAATTCCAAAACAAAATGAAAAACTTGAGCCCAAAAACCGTTTCTATTCCCGAACCACATTGAATCAGTTTCATCGAACCAAATCCATAATTTATTCTTTTAAAAAAGAATCCGTTTTTATCAAATATTACCAAAATGACATCCATAATTGCGATATGAAACTATTTTAAGGCCTCGTCTGATTTGTAGGATTGAATTGGATTTGAAGGGATTTGAAATTGAATTTCATTCCAATCCCATGTTTAAAGAATTTTGAAATCCCACAAGTAATAATATTCTAGAAAATAATAAAAACAATCAATTATGGACTGTTTGACAGTTGCTGAATTGTTTGATGCATAATGAATGGTCAGAATATTTAAGAAACGCTCATGATATAGTGAAAATTGAAATATAATTGTTTGGTAGTTGTTTATAATGAAATTAGGGTGCTAAATGATTAAGAAAGACACACGATACAAAATCATTCAGAAGGTTTTAAAACCATTAAGAGACATATTTTTTTTAACAAATAAGATTCATCTTTTAACGATACAGAACCTGCCTCTTAATGAAACTATTAAGAGGTAAACAAACAACCATTTAATAAAAATATGATTTAATGATTTTTACAATAAAATATAATTTATTTTCATAAATAAATATAAAAAAAAATAAAATAAACTACCAAATATTACAAATCCTTCCGCCAATTCAAATCCCAATTTGGGCCGGTAAAGAACCAATTCGCAATGTTCTAAAAGGACTACTCATCTTTGTATGATCCATGAACACTTCCAACAAATTTCCCTCAATTTCACCTGAAATTTTTCGCAGAAGATCGGCTCCTAGTCAATCCAGCTGGAATTCAGGTGCGTATATGAAATCCTTCGTTTCTACGCTTGTCTTCGAGTTTATACATACTTCACTTAATTGTAGCTACAGTATGCGTATGCGTTTCAGTTTCAATTACTTCTCCATTTAGGTTTTTGCTTTGTTCGATTGTTATTTATCCATGGAGTATTGTATTACATACGAACCTTCTGTTTGAAAACAGTCTGGTTTAGTATGGAACGACAACAATTGGTTATATACTCAATATTTGCAATTCTGTGAAGCGATTCTGATTGTGGAGGTGGGATTAGCAACATTAAGAAAAGGAGTAAGATAAGAAGAACACAAATACGTTCGTATATAATGTAATGCTAAATCGAACTGTTTTGAAACGGAAGAAGTACACAGATACGTTCGTATATAATGTAATACTCCACAGATAGATAACAATCTAACAAAGTAAAAACGGAAATCAACATGCCTTCCCTATAGAAAAAAGAAACAGGAAGGAGAAGGACAATTGTAACACGCCAACAGTACCAGATATTGTTTGCTTTGTCCAAACACGTGGACTTACGATTTTAAAACGCATCTGATAGAGGAGGCATCCAGTTCCTTTGTTCCCTCCCAACTGATGTGGGATCTTACAATAATATTGTGTGTAAATTTGAGAAAAATGTTGAACAAAGATGTCTTAGGGTACTTGGGATTGGGAGGTCGATGGCCGTTTTGTCTTTTTTGCCCTTACGATTGACAGCATGAGAGTAGCATTGTTACTTTATGATGTACATCCTTGCACAACTATATTCATAGGTGATATTTATCCCAAACCTTCATCCTTGGGTTCCTCATCCAAGACTTCAGGCTTGTTTGTCTGTTAGCAGCTTAACAAGCTTAATGGGACTCACAATTTATTTGGTCAGATATACAAAACTGTTTGGTAGTTGCTTAATGATATAAAAAATGACTATTTATTCAGTAAACTTTTAGGGGAAATTGCGCAACGTCTTCTAGCGGATTTGTTTGGTTGTATAAACTTAAGTAATATAAAGCAGTTTATTAAAACATTCACACATCTTTGGTGTCCTATGAAAACCATATTCTAGTTAATTACACTACAACAGCTTCTTTATCGACATTATATCCATATTCCCTACTCTACCATGTCAAGAAACGTTTCGTTCGTCTGAGGCGTATACCCAGAAACTCTCAAAACTTCCATCGTCATCTCCACCATCGAGTATATCTCCATCCATAGAAAATGTGATCTATCCTGTGCCACAAATTCATGAATAGTTCCATAAATCTCTATCGAACTACAACCTAGGGTTTTCGTTACTCCTCTATTCATCATCATCGTTCTTACTTCCCGTAAATCTTCCCATCTGTTGGAACCTGCATATATGTTGCATAATAATGCATACCCTCCACCATTTTCGGGATCTAATTCAATAAGTTTCTTGGCTGCTATTTCAGCCAAAAAAACGTCTTTATGGATTCCGCAGCCACCGAGAAGAGCACGCCAAACGACTGAATTTGGCGCCATCGGCATCGTGATTATGGTGTTATAAGCTTCGGCCAACAATCCGGCTCGACCCAGAAGATCAACCATGCACCCATAGTGTTCAACCTCTGGCTCGAGCCCATGGTCGATGGTCATGCTAGCAAAGAACTTTCGGCCTTCTTCCACCATACCGGTGTGGGTACAAGCACAGAGAACACCAAGGTAACAAATCTCATCTGGTTTTATCGATGCGTTCATCATCTTATTGAACATATCGATAGCTTCGTTTCCGAATCCATTGATAGCGTAACCGTTAATTACACAAGTCCAACTGAACTTATCTCTTACGGGCATTTTCTCGAACACATCCACTGCTTTACGTACTTCTCCACATTTGAAATACATATCTATAAGAGCATTTCTGACAAAAACATCGTTCTTGATCTTGTCTTCGTTCTTGTCGATGCTAACGTTAATCCACTCCCCTAGGTCGAGGGCGTTCGTGTTAGCACACGCGGTCAGAACGCTAACGATCGTGAACTCATCGGGTTCGACTTTCGCATCCTGCATATTCTTGAAAAGCATCAAACCTTCCTTGAACCGATTTTGCCTTACGTACCCATCAATCATCGCTGTCCACGAAACCGAATCCCTCTCCGGCATCTGGTCGAAAAACTCACGAGCTACGTCGAGTTTTCCGGCATTCAAAAATCCAGATAAAACCACAGTCCAAGAAATAACATCCCTTGTTTTCATCTTATCGAAAACCACCAATGCAGCATCCATTTCCCCACAGGCTGCATACGTATCGATTAAAGCATTATTCAACACCACATTCGTCTCGACCCTCCCGTCCTTGACGTACCTATGGACATGCTTGCAACCATCACTGTCCTTTAACTTTGAGCAAGCCGATAGCATCGAAACAAGAGTGACGGAAGTCGGTACAACTCGTCTCGCCTCCATTTCACGAAAAACCCTTCTCGATTCATCGAAGAGTTTGCTTCTATTATATCCCGCAATCATAATATTCCAAGCGATGACATCACTTTTCGAACTTGTATCGAAAACCTGTCTAGCATCATCGACATTCCCACATAACGAGTACATGTGTATCAACGACGTGTCGACAGCCGCATTAGAACCGAACCCGAACCCAGACTTACACACATGACAATGGATCCCCTTCCCGATTTCCAAACCCACCGATCGCGTAAACCCCTTTAGCAGAAACGGAAACGTGTAGTTATCAGGCTTCACATTCCTCCTCAACATTTCTATGTACAAAGCAATGGCATTTCCGGTAGAGCTCGTGCTCGAGTAGCCCTTGATCATCATATTCCAAAGGAAAACTTTTGGTTCAGGAATTTTGTCGAACACTTGGCGTGCGTAATCGACACTGCCCCGATCTCGACCACCACAAAAGGAGGCAATAATTTTGAAGCATACATAAGGATCAAGGTTTACACCTTTTACGATGGTTTGCAAGTGAATTTGCTTGAGTTGGTCCATCGATTTGCAAATCAAAGTGGTTGTTTTCAAGACTGATGCTAACATGGTGCCAAGATACCAGTTTTTTGTTTCAAGATGGGGTGGAAATGTAGAGGGTGAGTAAAGGTGGCAAGTGATGGGAATCATGCGACGGCCGGAGGAGGCTGACACCACCACCGCCACCACAATTCCGTCGTAGTTGTCTGCCTTCCGATGACTCCGCCACTTTCTTATCACTGATTTGAACACAAAACCAACCAAGGATTCGGTTGATGGCCAGGGTGTGTTCGTGTGAAACTTCTTCTTGTTTTTTCTTTTCTTTTTTGTTTTCTCATGTGCTATTAATAATCTTACCGGGTAAATGGAATGAAATGGACAAATATGTTTTTTTAATAAATATATCGAATATGTTATAAAGTTACAAACCAAATACAAGAGATACGGTGCTTATATAATATTGTTATATAAGCGAAACATTTAAGACCGTATTACATGTACAAATTACATTTCATGTATTAATTACATACATATCCATACAAATACTTGCAGGTTGGATTCACGTGAAACTAAATTGTTTTCGTGAGACAACTTTTTTACACTTCAAACTTCACAATAAAAACGCAGTGAAAGTAAAAAAAACCGAACCTTCACAGTATCACAACATTTTGCTATGAAGTTTCAAGTATAAAAAAATGGTCTCACGACATTCATAAAAATAGGCTGGTATCCCAATTCTTTATACCAATTTTATTTTAGCTTGGTTTATTATGCTTTTTTTTTGGGGGTATTTTATGCCAACCAAAAACACATCCCCCTTTACTAGATAACGAAACGAGCGGCAAAAGAAAGCAAGAGATAAACGTCTCATACGCCATGACGGTAGCGGCAGCGATCCGACCTCACCGGATACAGGCGAACGTTGTGGATAATGCAATACATATGAGAAGGAAGTCCTTCGCCTTCGAGCTTCCGGTCATGACGGCGTTGTCGCCTTCCTCCGGTGGAAGACGCTTTATCATTGCCGCTTCCAAATCCTCAAGCGAAGAAGCAAATTCAGGTCCAGATGGTCCTGATCTTCCGTTCACGTCTCAGGTTAGGGTTTAATCGAACCTTAATCGTGAAGTCTGTCTTCACTGCATCAAAACTTCTACTCACAAACAGAATCACAAACAATCGTCTCGCGATATCTCCAAAATCTGTTTTCTGTTGCTGGAATTCACGACAACTGTTTGATTTCTCGTTTTAATGTGTTATTTCATTCATACACAAAGGATAATGGAAGATGGCTCGTATCTCATAGAATCAACCAAATCCTACTGTGTTCGTTTTCGTTTCCAATTTGGAATTTGGATGATAATTTTCGTTTTTCAGTTCAAACACCGTCTCCTGATCTTAAATTTGTTGACGAACAGGTAGATCTGAAGTTCTTGTTAAAGCTCGGAGCTGGATCGTTCATGGCCGCAGCTGCAATAAAATACGGCAGCATCCTTGTACCGGAGATAACACAGCCAAACATCACACAAGCTCTGATTATGATCTCTACTCCTGTTTTAGTATCTCTTTTGATTTTGATCAAAGAAAGTCGTGTCGAGCAATAACACAGATTTGTCAATTTCAATTTCAATAACATCCAAGTTCCAAAGCAAATTCATCAAATGGCCATTCAGGTAAATCACCAGATCTCATTTGACCTGTAATCACTGGTGCAAAATTCTTACCATCTCTTTTGATTTTGATCAAAGTAAGTCGTGTTGAGCAATAACACAGATTTGTTCTTCCAAATGACAAATCGTTTCAGTTCCAATTTCAATTTCAATAACATTCAAGTTTCAAACCAAATTCATCAAATGGCCATTCAGGTAAATCACCAGATCTGTTTTTGACCAATAATCGAAGCTATCATCGATGCAAAATTCTTACATGTAATACAAGTGTTTTAAATATACGATGAATCTAAGTTTCCACCAAAACTGCTGGAGAGAGCAATTTAATCAACTTGTAAAGAATTGGAGTTGTTTCAATTTCTTGGACAGCATCTGGGGAGAACAATCTTTTCGGAGGGGCAGAAAATCTTTGCCCGCTGCTACGTTAGACGGAAAGATACGAGAGTATATATATTGTGATCTAGAAGTTGTCCTTGAACCAATTTGTTACTCCTTTTACAACGGACCTGCAAAACAATCGGAGCATATCAACCGCCGGGAAAAAAGATTTTTTATAGCATACCTACTGGAGTTTGATGTAATTTTTTTATAGAGATTTTGGTTTTTAATACTCTATTTTAGCAAAATTAGAGCATAACCGTTGGAGATGCTCTAAAGATGAAAAGAAGAATACCCGGCAAAATCTGTTAGTTTCTTCAATGGGTCATCTTGGTCGTCCGAACCTTCACTTTCCTTGGTAACAGGATCCGCTTGAGTTTCTGTGATTTTAGCTATCGAGAAATTGAAACATCGATATATTTTAGAACAGATTGATTAAAGCAACCTCTCTTTGAAATCCAAATAACAGAGAAGTTTTGGGGGAGTTTGGTGATGTTACCGGGTTGCGGAGGTTTAGGGCGAGATCGAGGGTTGCTATTGAGAGAAGCAAGTTGTTCGAGGAGCTCGCGTTCTTGGCCACTGCTACAACCAATATTTGTAGCATATAAAAAATGATTAGAAAGCAATGATTCAATATCAATGGGTTCAATCAAGTAACTCATCATGCATCACCATTCTAGATTGCACTATATCTATGTTTTACACATCAAAAAAATTCCAGAGCCTCTTCCTAAAATAGTCGGTCTTTATGCAGATGCTTTATGCATTTGCATAAAGATTGATTTTTTCTGGGAAATAATTCCTTATGCATATGCGTAGGATTTTTTTTCTTCCAGAAATCTCCTTATGCATATGTGTAAGGATTCTACGTAGAAATTTGAATCCTTATGCAAAAATCTGAATCATTACATAAAAAAAATATTTTTTCTTTTTTTTTTAATCTGAAAATCGAGTTTACGCAAATACGTAAGACTATGCTCTGGCTCTATTGAAAAACTGGCTAAAAAGTGACGTTGGTCGGGGAGATTAGCTATTTTGGTCAATTTTCCTACAAAGTACAAAAAACCCTCCTTTGAAAAAAAACCTAGGCGCTATAGCATGACGATAAATGCTACTTTTTAGAATCAAAATTCCTAATTAATAGGTGATACAAACAGACATTATGAATAGCAGAAAGAAGCATAAGCATTTACAAATCCAATTATCTATACTATATTATAAAGCATTTGACAAAAACTCTTAAAAACCATTTTTTATGCATGAAATATTGTATATTAATGCATATTACTTAAAATTCAAGACTACAAGTAAATTATGCATAAATACAACTTATTAAAGCTCCATGTTTGAATTCGTGTAACTAACTACGGATAAACATAATTAAATAGAGGATAAACATCTCGTTTTAAAATCTAAAAAATCTAAAATATAATTAGAATAATTATCGAGTTCTAACAAAATAATAATAAAAAATTACACAAAAAATAGGAATTTTAAATAGTTAATTGATACTAATACTGATATATTTTTGTCAATTTTTTATAATATCTTCAAGCTTATATTTTATTTAAAAATAAAAACATCATCGTTTTTTTCAAAATCACATAAGACCATACTATAACATCGACTGAGATAAAAAAAATTGAAATATTAAAATCAAGATGTATCTCGCTACATTGCACGAGTATCTTTCTGGTTCATACAAACTTATGAACCAGTTTTCATGTGTTGTTTCACATATGAAACTAACACGTGATGATAAAAACGAAGCGTTTGTACACTGTTTTGTGTGTGAAAAAAGAAGTCGTACATGTGAAACAAGACATGAAAACTGGGTTGCACGAATTGTAAAAAAAAAGGGGACTGTACCTGATTCGTTTCGGTATAGCAACTTTAATGGTGAATAAATGATCGCCACGGATAGAAGGTCTATTCAATTTTGGAGCACCTTTCCTTGCCAAAACAAGAGTATCACCAGGCTGAGTACCTGCAGGGATCTGAAGCTCACTCATCCCTTCTACTGTCTTCACCTGAAGTTTAATAAAACCAAATATGTAACTAAAACTATCATAAATGCATTCGCAACAATAAGCTTATTGCATTTGGATGAGCATAAACTTGTTGATAGAACCATATGGCTGGATATCCAACCCGCTATGCGAGCCGACTAATCCTAGGGCGGCCCCACCAACTTTGCGGGTAGCCCCGAGTCATTGCATTTGAACCTCCATGGCCACAAAAGGATTTTTATTCCTCCTTGGATTTGAACTGGGACCTCCAGACACTTTTGACCTTTAGAGCCCAAGCTCAAACCAATCAGGCACCACCTTTGTGGTTGAGATTCTCCTTAGAGGTCACACCAGTGGCTGTTCTCCAAGGATTAGCACAAACTAGACCATACACCAATGGTTAACAAAAACAAGAAAAAAAAAACTAGTTGATAAGCTAGCTATAGAACCGCTACTCCAATTATACCCTTAATATTTTACCTTATATTAATTAGATAATTTTTTTATTTTAGTATTAGTTTATCTTATCAATTAGTATTTAATTATTAATTTATAAATATTAGATATTAATTATAGTAAGTCATATTGTGTTTATTAATTTATATAAATATCTAATTATTAAATATTATTAGGCATATTATTTTATTAATCTTTATTATATATTTAGTCATATTAATTATTATTACTTATTTTTTATCTTGTTATTGTTAATTGGTATTTAATAGATTTAGTCCAAAAAAACCAAATAAAAATATTTATGTAAGTTAAAGATTAAAATCATATTATCTCTTTTACAAAAAAAAAAAATCCGATAAATGATTTAAACAATGCATTTAATCAACTAGTTTTTGGCAAACATTACTAGCTTATCAGCTAGTTTTTGCCAACCGTTACTAGTTTTTCAGCTGGCTTATCAACCATCCGCTGGCTTGTCTTAATAGGAAAAAGGTTTGATACATACCTTGGCAACAGTCCCCAATATAGCATCAAGATAAGAAATGGAGATGGATGAAATCAAATTGATTCCATCTCTTTGAATCTCTGGGATTTCTTCAACATCAAGATACACATACAGATCCCCAGCAGGACCTCTGCTCAAAAACCAAAAGAACCACTTAACAGAATAAATACCAACATCAAAAAGTCGAGTTAAACAAGGATTGACATATATACCCTTTTGGACCAGCATCACCTTCTCCAGCAACTCTTAGGATACTTCCTTTGCTCACTCCAGGAGGAATCTTGACTTTTATATCTTTTTTCACACGTATACGCCCTTCGCCTGAGCACTTTCGGCAATACTCGGATATCATTTCACCATTCCCGTTACAATTTGGGCATACAGAAACCTATGTGAGAAAAAAAGATAATGATAATTTCCATATGATTTTGTTTAGAAAGGGGGAAAGTTCCGTTAGGAACCCAAAACTGATTAGGAACCCGGAAATCGCCCACAGCATGCCATGTGTCCTTCTTCAGGATGAATATTCATCATGAATCACACATTCATGATGAATATGGACGTGTTATTCATGATGAATCAGAAAATCATGATTCATCATGAATCACACATTCACAATGAATATGTTACAACATTAATGATGAATAACACGCCATATTCCTAATGAATATGTCACGTGCCAAGGTGTGGGCGGTTCCCGGGTTCAATTTTAGGTTTCTAATGGAACCTGCACCTTATTAGAAAAACCCCTACACAAGGAATCGTTAATGATGAATTACCTGTGAAAACATACCGAAAGGCGTTTGCTCTGTTCTCATGACTTGACCTCTGCCACCGCAAGTGGAGCATATTCTCATCTTAGATCCTATCTTTGCCCCAGTTCCGGCGCATACATCACATGTTTCAAGATGAGATAGTTCAAATTCCTTTTCCGTTCCAAATATGGCCGCTGAAAACTCTAATCTCATGTCGTATCTGGATGGAATACATCAAATCCCTTCTTTTAGCATTTATAGAAGTTGATTTCTCAACTCGCAGATACAAGAATCCTTAAATCTAATAACCACTACTATGAACGTACAACATTTAGAGGCCACACCAAATGAATAATGATCCATACTAGGAGGTTCAAATAAGAAGGCTTAATATCGTCGGAAAGGAAGAAAGGAAGGTTCATATGTGAATCATTCAACAAAAGGGGAAAAATTATATCTAAAGATGCATATGTCAACTGACATTACAAATTATCCATATGGATTCACATATGCATCTTCAATTGGAATTTTTCAATGTTTACACATATGAACCTTCCATTAACGATTCCTTCTTACCTTCTCGCAATATTTAGTCTTATTTGAAGCAGTCCCATCCATAATTTCATCTAATCTTACACTCAATTTTCTGTGAGAACAAGTGACAGCTAATATAGAGATGATAATGTGTATATATATTTATATATATATATTTGAAACTTGTACCAATGAAACTAAAAGTACGTCACATAACTAACACTTCCAAACCCCACAACCTTACCTCTGTGGTGAATATATTGAGCTCATATGGTATTGTAAAAAGAGAGGGTGTACAATGTTTACTTTCACATGCAATTTAGAATCGAATATAAAATATAGGGAAATTAATCAAAATAGCCATTTTCACCTGTGGGTTTCATTTTTTAGCCATTTCTCTCCCATAATTACGAAAATTGCCATGGGTCTGCAATTGGCGAAGGTATCAAAGCGTAAAAAAAATGAAGTTACTGAACTAGGTCCGCATCCGCATAAATATGTCCGTAATTGCAGATGTGTTTTTCCAGATTTACATATTCGGTCCCTGTAATTGCAGACCTGGTCTAGAAACTTCATCTTTTTCTTACACTTTGACCCCTCTGCAAATTACGGACCTACCAATTGCGGACCCATGGCTATTTATGTAAATTTGGGAGACAAATGGCCAAGAGGTAAAACCATGTGGTCAAAATGGCTATTTTAATTAATTTCTCCAAAAAAATACCATTATTGAACATCACATTTTCTTTAATATTAAACACAAGTGCATACGAAAGAGGAATCATGTAACTCACCGTATATCTTCACCTTTAATAACAGTAGTGGCACGTCGTCCTCCAAATCCAGTCGTGTCACCACCAGCAAAACCACCCATACTAGTTCCAAAGAATGTCTCAAAGAGATCAAATGGATTTGTCTATTACCAAATAAATAAAAAGCATCACTAATTAAATGGTGAGATATATTTTTATACTGAATATGGATCAAATACAAGGGACCACGAATAAGTGGCTAACAACATCATGGATAGCAGTCGCAAGCATTCAGCATATGCAACTTTTCTTCCACTTGTTACATTAAGGGTGCGTTTGGTAGATAAAACAAAAACTTTTTGCCCCACGTCTTATGCGACATTAGATTGGAACAGGACGACTGATCAGGGGCTGTTTGGTTGGTTTTCCTGTATGGATAAAGCTGTTTGTGTGGATTAATCTGTCTGGATAGATTAGGAAGGTTAGGGTTTTTTCACTGATGGAGGCAGCATGTTTTTTAATTGGGAGGGGCAGCTTTGGAAAAAATTGGCTCTCTGCGTAAAGGTCCCCCTAGAAGCTTACTGAATAATCCACTTTCTATATCATTAAGTCACTACCAAACAGTCATGTATAGTTGACCAAATAAGTTGCTAGTCCCATTAAGCTCATTAAGCTGCTAACAGACAGGCGCTGAGCCGGACAAAAAATTAGGGAGATGAGACAAGATTGGTGTATTACCAAACTACCCCATGTTAAATTAAAACCCTAAAACCTTCCACATTTCTTTCACCTGCCTCCGCACTCTTGCCCGTCCAGTTACACCCGCATACCAAAACGCACCCATTAAATACATAAACACACACAGGGAAGTAAGCTAATTATCAGTAGTACCGCATAAGCACCAGCTTGTCCCCCTACTGTGCTTTTAACTCCATCTTCACCGTAACGATCATACATCGCTCGTTTCTTGTCATCTGATAGAACCTGAGAACGTCATACTTCAACATTCAAAGAGAGATTTTTAAACAACACATTTCTTATTTGAGTAAAACGTTTTCTCCCATAGTTGCAAATCATGCTCGTTTAAGCATAAGCAACTGCAACTTCCATAAAGTCATCCTATTGATAAATTACTAAACTACCCATGTTATTTATAGGTAACCAATATGCAAATCTTTGGCTCTAACATATTTATCTGTGTACCTATTAGTTATTTTTCTTACTTATGTATCTTCTGCTTCGTTCACCATATGCTAATCTTTATTCCTGCTACATGTTTGCTCACAATCTTGCACAAGCCAAGGGTCTTCACATAAACACCGTTCTACTCTTTGGGGACATAGGTCAAGTCTGTATACATCTCACCCGTGCCAAGCCCTACTCTCGAGTGAATTTATTGGGTCCGTTGGTTTATATTTATCCGACATGTTATCATTCATCAAGAAAGTGAGAACCAAACACTAGTAGTTCGAAAAGTCCGTATCATGTTTTCTACTAAGAGTCTATGAAACAAATGGCAACCACCCCACACATATACATATATTGGCGGGGGTTCGAACGAGAACATCCTTGTTTTATGAAAATGTGAGAACACTTCTGGACCTCTAAATTAATTAATCCATGATAAAAATTGGAATAAATGAAAATAAATTAGTATTTATCAACAATTTTCTGTTATCTTAAATTTGTCTTTATACCTTAAATGTTGCTAGTAACATCAAAGACTTCTTATGCCGATGCATCTGTTGTAGATAATGATGTGATTTTGCTTTGATAATAAAATGATAATGCTTTGATAAATTGAAGACTTCTTATTTATGTGATAGTGTTGTGATGATGATATGATAATTCTGTGATAAATCAAAAACTAATGATGATCACATCCACAATCATGGACTTTGTCTAATCATTATGTGATTTGCAGTTTTTCCCATTTTACCTATGCATGTCTTTGATATTCCTAAAAAATGGTAAATATTTATTTAATATTTTATTGCTACCTCAATCCTTCTAAAACTGTGACTTAAAACAGAATGATGGGCTTACAAGTGTTCTCACATTTGCGTAAATCACAGCCTATATATATAATTATATATATGGGTGAGCGAAGAAACCTATGAAGCATGATGAGATAACAAAGAATAAGTACAATCGAAATATCCAAAAGAACGATCAAGATCAAGAACATCACGACTTTATTCATTCATTGCCATACAAAAAGATACAAAATTCAACAAAATCAAGAACGTAAGGAACAGCTTCTCCCCTATACATACCTCATAGGCAGCACTGATCTCCTTAAACTTTTCGGTAGCTCCTGGTTGTTTATTGACATCTGGATGATACTAAATAGAAATGAAACATATGCATATTAGGAGTGAAGTAAAGGTAGCGGTGATGCATTCATTATTCCGTTCTTAATTACGAGTCTATTCCTAGCTACAAAAGTAGACAAACAAATACAACTATAATTGGTTAACACGTAGGCAAAATCTGTGACAATTCTTCCGCTTCGGAATGACAAGTGCACTGTAATAGAAAGGAAAATTACAAAGGAATGCAGATAATAGAAAGAAACCCGAGTTTTGTTTCAAGAGAAATCATGAGGTACTCAATAACAAATTATGGTACAAACTTACAAACCAATTTTCATGTATTGTTTCACATATGAAATAACACGTGTGAAAATGCAACATTTATACATTGTTGTTTCACATGTGAAACGTTCAGTACTCATTTGTGCGTAGAAAAAATCAGACATGAAAGTTTCACATATGAAACGAAACTGCATTTTCATTTCAAGAGCAATCTCGAGGTAATCAATAACAAATTAGCAATAGAAAATTTGACTTAAGAGGCTACTTAATCCTAAAATTCAAGTAGCTGAAACCAGATGAGGTCTATAAATGCACAAAATCTTCGAGTTACTTGTCCATTTCTTGATAATTAACATTGAATCAGATCTATAAATACACAGAATCTTCGATTTTTTGTCCATTTCTTGGTAATTAACATTGGAAAACCAACATCACAACAACAAAAACTAGAAGAAATATGTTTTCCATTGTAGTATAAATTATATAGCACCAAAAGCAAAATTGTTCCATCTTTTGGATAATCACTCCCTCCTTTCAAAATGTAATTTCATTGCCCTTGGGCGTGTAGCTTGGTTGGCAAAGGGGTGGAGCGACTTAGCTCAAATACACAACAGATTCAAATTCGAATCCTACAGAAGGGCTTGAACCCCACAGCTAGCCTCAAACGTTGAGTCAGCTCCGAAATGTCTCCCAACATGTGGTTCCTAGGGGCCGATTCCGTGTGGGGCTACCGGGAATCAATCTTTTGTCCAAAAAATGTGTTCCCATTGCCTCCAGGCGTTTGGCAGATGGGGGGAGGACTTTGCTCAAATATACAAGAGGTTCAAGCTCGAATCCTACATAAGCCAGGCTTGAACCCCTCCGCTAGCGTCGACCGTTGAGTCAGCTCTGAAATGTCTCCTCAAATGTGGTTCTTAGGGCGCGACTCCATGTGGAGCTGGTAGCGGTTGCCGGTAATCAACCATTTTGTTCAAAAATGTGTTCCCATTACCAAATTCTATATAGAATTACTTACAAATCTAACACTGATATCCATTTGAATTGCTGTATATAAAGTTCAATTTCAATGGCACTTTTAAGAACCTATAACTTGATTTCAATTTTATTCCAAATGGAAGCAATCAATATCCCTAATTATAACAAGAACCCTAACATACCTGGCGAGCAAGCTTTCGATACGCAGCTTTAATGTCTTTAACGGTGGCGGACTTTGGAACTCCGAGAGTCGAGTAATAATCCGCAGCCGCGAACACCAAAACTCCTCCGCCTCGCCGCTTACCGTACAGCTTCTTGTTGAATTGCGAAGACGACGAGAAAGAAACGCAGCTCTTATTGTTGGTACTACGGGTGAACAAAAGTGTTCCACCACCGAAGAAAGATGAAGAAGATGAAGATGGAGATGAAGGAGATGCTGAAGAGTCTCGAATGAAGTTGAGAGAGGATGAAGGGATGAGAGCGAAAGATGTCGCCATTGTTGAGGGTTTTTGGGTTGTGTGGGCAACTTAGAAGAAGCAGACCAAGTGTTCGACGATTTGCATCGTATCCCACATTCGTAGAAAAGTATGGTTCGATGATTGTATGAAGATCAGAGGGATTTTGCAGAAAATCGAAAAGGGTCGGTGGGAATTAACAGGAAGAACAAAAGATGTGGTTATGGAATCATCCAACGAGTATAAACCTCCCATGAACTTGTAATTTTCTGTAATAATCACCAATCCATATAAATTTACCAAGTGGCTGTTTGCAAGTAATTTAGGATATACTATTAGTAGCTTAATTAGTGGCTTAATTGGCTTAATAAGGTTTATAGTTTGTTTTATCAGTTATACTTGAATGTTTGATAGTGGCTTAATGATATAGTAGATAGCTTAGTCAAAAAGCTTCTACGAGGAGCTTTAAACATAAAGGATCTCTTTTACCCAACATGCTCATCCCACTCAACAGAACACGTGTTCTGTTAATTTCATCTATGAAAAAGGATGTCTCGAACAAAACATTCTCAGTTTATAAAGACATATTAATATAAAGAGACAACTTTATCCATACAAGATTTAATAGAAAATCAACAAACAATCCCTTAATGAGTTTAATTGGACTCAAAGATTATTCGGTCTGATCCATACAGATAACTTTATCCGTATAGAACTTAATGAAAAACCAATGAAACAACCCCTAAAAAGATATAATTATCCATTGTTTTGTAATAAAAACCGATCAAACAAGCTTTCTAAGAGATGAAGACTCTTTACTAGCAATGGCACAGTTGGTGAATATTAACAAGTATCAAAGTTATGTGTGATGATATTTGTGTTTATCGACCATAATTTTTTATGTTTATTATTTAGAACGATCAGATATTCTTTGATTCGAATCATTAATTGTCAAAACGATCGATTATGGTCGAATCATTACTAATCCAAGACACGAGCACACCCACGTAACATATCATTTGTTGGGATTAGTAGCTTTCGGAATTTGAAATAAGGTGATGAAAAAGGAAAAAGAAATGCCGTTACCTCTTTTACATTCCGTTCATGTTCCTTCAATCAAAATTTCACACATTATTTTCTCTCTTCTCCATTATATTGGGTTGAGTTCACGTGAGACAAGACAGTTTTCGTAAGACCCGTGAAACCATTTTTTTACACTTGAAACTTCACAGCAAAACACTGCGAAAGTAAAAAAAAAAAACCTAACCTTCACATCAAAATGCTGTGAAGATAAAAAAAAAACCGAACTTCCACAGAAAAAACACTGTAAAAGTTACATCCACAACATTTTGCTGTGAAGTGTAAAAAAGTGATCTCACGTAATCCCAAGTCTATATATATAGAGGCTTAATCAAATGAAAATTAATTAGTTTGTGGTAACCGTGAGATCCAATCTCAACCACAAATCAATAGATAAATTAGAAAATTTATAATTTTGGTAATTTTGAATTAAAATTTTAATGCAAGAACATTTTAAGTATATTTTAAAACTCTCATCTCTTTTCTTTTCTCTCTGTCCCCCGATGGTATCACAATGCATCTTATATGTGCTTGAATGTCATACTCTGTCTTTTGTTTAATAAATCAATATTTTTAGGTATCACAACGGTATCACAAAAAAAAAGGGGACAAAGAAAGAAGATAAAAGAGAGAGGAAAAAAAATACCAAAAATGTATTTCATTAAAATTTTAATTCAAAATTATAGATTTCCTGGTTGAGATTAGATCTCACGGTTACCACAAGCTAACCAGTTCTCCCTTGAATGAGCATTTTTAGCAAGCAGAACAAAAGCTCGGACAGGGCTTTTGGAGTAATAAAAAGGCCCGATCGTGTTTTTTGAGCTTAACCCGGCTTCGGGCTTTTTATTTGAGGCTATTTTTGCATCTCTTTCTCTTGTATGCTTTTGGCCTTCCATTTTGAAAAGTTGAGCCATCAAAATGATTATGAACCAAAAAGCAAGCAGAAAGAAGTATGAGTTTGCACAACTCAAAAAGTATCAAGAATTAAACTGGGGTCTTACCCTTTAAATTAATCAACCAAAAGCATCCATGTTTCGAAGAAGATATAACGAAATCTACTTGCCATTTAACTGCATGGCAAATGTAGATTTTCAAACAAACAATATTTATAACCAAAATCTATCCACAATGCTCTCAGCACCATGTCTAGCTCTCTTATCTCCACCTCTTTATTAGAAGATATCAGGATGGAATCGTCCGGGAATTGAATTGTTGTCCTGAGCTTGTCGCAGATGCATCGTCAATGCATAGTTATTCACCTGCAAAACGTCAAATAATGGTTACTTATTACGTCATTAAGGGTGTATTTGGAATGCAGACTGGACTGGACTGGACACGGGCTATGAAATAATTGTAGGAGGTTTAATTTGATATGGGTAATCTGGTAATTTACCAAATTTGCCACATGTCCCTATTTTTCTTTCCAATTGTTTTGGTGGGACAAAAATAATGCATTTTTCCTACTAAAGACATGTCTCGTCTCAATCTAATGTCGCACCAAACATGATACAAGTTTTTGTTCTGTCATGTCCCGGCCAAGGTTCCAAATAGCATGGCGGCGATCCCAAGCCTTAGGAGCCACGGCGTTTCTCAAGATGTGACTTATGGCGGCTAATTTGTGCATCATATAAAATATTATTACATATATATATATATATATATATGTGTGTGTGTGTGTGTGTGTGTGTGTGAACATATGTTTTCTACAATTACTCATGAGTCAATGATAATAAACATTTTAAATTTAGTTATATACTAAAAACTAACAAATAAGACATTAAAAAGATAAGAAAAATCAAATATAGTGTTACAAAAAACGGGCATTAGGCCATGGTGTGCCACAGGCTAACATGGCTTGAGGCACAAGCCTTGAGCCACGGCACGCCATGGCGGCTATTGCGGCGAGCCTTTAGAACAGTGGTCCCAACCCATCGTGCACCCTACAAGTTAAAACTTAAAACCTCGTTTGACTTTTTCATTAGAAGACTTGAGAAACGGCACCAAATGGGTGAAAATTTGTGATCAATGCACCCCTAGTAATTCATTACGTAATACACAAGTGCAAGACTCAAACTCGGGACCTCTAAATAATCCAAAGAAGTCTCAAACACTTGGGTATGCCCATTGTGCTTCATCTCAACCATATAAAGCCATTGCTAACCAACCAATCCCTGAAAAGGTGGAGGTCTCTTTTTTTCTAATTCTTACTATATTCACTCACACTTCTGTACTAGCCAGGGGTCTTCACAAGAGTAACTTCTCTGTCCTTTGGGATAGAGCCTAGAGGTCAAGTCTACGTACATCCCAACCTAACTTTTGAGTGGAATATATTGGGTTTTGGTTTGGTTACCTATATCAGATATCATTAGTTTGTTATATGTGGTAGAGGGAAATCAAACGGTCAAGTTTACATGAAAGAAAGCAGAAAGTGAAGTTGCAAGTTTGACCTCAAGTGTCCTCAGCTGTTCTTGATATTGGGATAACAACTGCTTTAACTGCTGCACTTCTTGAGTCCTTTCATCGTACTCTTTCTGACGTTCATGCTGAATAGCTACAGCACGTTTCAGTATTGCATTCTCCCGCAGAAGAACTTCAATTTGTTCCTTGAAGAGTAGATTCTCCTGAAATTAGCAGCCGATAATGCATAATCATGCAATTTAGAGAGAAATCAACCAGGTTTTAAAAAGTATGAACCTTTACCAAGAGTCAGAGAAAAAACATCAAGAGCATAAATGAAAAAGATAATAGCAAATAGAATGGCCCATTTTCTAGAGCTGCTTTTGAATCAAAATATGTAAAATGGATGGCCTGCAATTTGCACACAAAGAAACCCGCAGAGCAGTATTTGTCAAAGGCAACAAAAGAATATCTAGACAGACAAGTAACCAAATATTATGAGATCTTATCAAACAAAGGTTTGTGATTCATTCCCCAATCCCTACCGTAAACATGAATATTAGAGAGAGAGAGAGAGAAAGAGAGACTTGCCTTGCGAAGATTTTCTGCTGCCTCACCACCAGCATGCTCACTAATGGATCTCTCCAAACTCTCCAGTACCCTCATGGCACGAAGTCTAGCATCATCAATGCTGGTAGCACTTGTCATTTCTGTGACAAACAATTCAACCCATTCTGCACCACTTTTGGGGATGTTGTCATTAGCTGATGGGTTCTCCAAAGAAACAATATCTTCACTGGCAGTAGCCGAACCTGTTATAATCAATAAAAGAACCTTGTCTATTAGATAAACCAAAAGAAATTATATAACAAAATACCCAAAATTCAGTTTTGATACTACACCAACATATGAAATCTTGGCGAAGAAAAGAGCAGAACGGAAATTGCAGGTCTTAAGTGAGCAGAAAGTATGAATGGATACTACTATTTGACGTCAAACAGCGAGGGAGCACCTTTTCTTATAAATTATAATATTCTATAAATTATAATTATATATTATTATGTATATTGTATGATTTAGAAAAAGATCACTGTTCCAGCCATGTAGACTAGTTCAAAGTCACTTTCATGAATGGCTAGATCTCCCACATTTCATAGAAGAATTCTGTTCAAATAACAGAATTTTGTCAAAGATCAAGTGGGGGGTAACAAAACACAAAGAGGCGCAAAATCATGTATGTGTGTGTGTTCTAGAGTACTTGCAATTTCAAATGCACATGCACCACCCTTAAAACACAAGCAGCTATATAAAATAAATGAGATGGAGTTCTGAACCAAAAAAAATTAATTTGAAAGAAGGTACAGATTACAATAGAGAAGCAGCTGATAGTATGCGCTGAACAGTGCTGTTGTGGTGACAATTCCTAGATTGTAAGGGTAAGCTTTACATGGCAGCATCAGAGTACTAAGAGATCAATGAGGAGTGATTCAAAATCATGATAATTAGGGCCAGCCAGCCAAGAAACCTAAAAGAGCGCAATTGCATAAGCCATTATACTGAAATAAATGAGCTCAAGGCTCAAGCCATAACACAAAAGTAGTGATAAAAGAATCACACACACATATGTGAAAGTTCGTGCATTTGAGATCCATTGGAACTCATCAAGACAGCAAGCAGGGATACACCAGAAAAGCAACTTGAGATGTGAGGCAGACGAAATGAAAAAATATTGGAAAGCTAAATCATTCCAAAAACATGCACTTTGTAGAATACAAAGACCATACAAGAGTGAAAAGAAGACGTAGCATCTTTCATATGGTTGCTGAATCCACCAGGCTAAAAGGAGATGCCTGAGACCTTGCAATAACTTATAGTAAACACATATTTAACACCTAGTTCAGTGAATGCATAAATAAAGTTGAAGCAACCATACCATTATTTTGGTTTAAAAACTAAATGTAAAAACAAAATACCAAATCACTTGTCTTTATGCCATAGCAGTACCATGAAAACTTGACCTTCAGTCAAATCACAAGAAATAATGGATCAGTCAAGGAGCTTCACACAATCAGGTAGAAGATTCTACATTTCTAGTTTTCATAAAATGATTGTAGAATGAAAGTGTTATATATATAAAAACCACTTAGACCTTACATGGTTGAGAGCCTAGTAGCCTACTAACCATATGCAATACAAAAGGTTCCGATTTGAGGACCCATAACATAAGCTGGCTGCAAGTTTGAACCTCCAAACTCCTTTATTGACAATGGGAATCAAGCAAATTACCTTTATCAGTTATTGCATTTGACTGCACTGGTGAACCTGAGGCCCCATCCGCATATCCCAGACAGAGCTCGTTGAGACTTTTGATGGCAGAACCTAAATCGTTTCCACTCTTTTCTAGTGCTTTCTCCAGAAGCTGAAAAACATTTATATATTTAATCGGAATATATCTTATCACAGGAACAACGTACACTAGTAGACATCATAATCCGCAGACGTACATAGGCTTGACATTACCAAATGTATTTAGTAACAGAATGAGAAAGGCATTAAATTGGTATTTCCAAGTGATCTATCATCAACTTAAGCAAAATATATTTGATTCTGACCAAAGTACCGGACAACACACATATGGATGATATAAATGACTTCATGTAAGCCTTAGAAACAACACCACAAGCAAATGATACTATATCTACATTATATAAAGCATTTTGCAATTGGGGAAAGCACATGTTGTTTTCAGGATTTCCTAATGTATTTGAGCATTAACTAATCCATGTTTAAGATTGATAAACCAAACTCGAGCGATTGAATTGATTCAAGCCTCGAACAAAATAATCAGTGACCAAATGAATAAGCATAGTCCTTTACAACTTACAAAACAGTAATTGAAGCCTTGAAAGCATGTAATAGACACAATATGTGCGTGTATACATGTGTCTGAACACTTAACAAAAGAGACATGCTTCTCCATTGTAGGGAAAATAGTAAACCCTTATATACCCTTAAATTGTCGAATTAGAAGCGTAGATTATCCTTACCAGACCACATACATGCACAAAATGCATTGAACAGTGTATATATAAAGCGTAAATCTGATCAAACGACCAAACTACACGTATCCATATACAACACCATAAGATTTTACTTCCACGAACAAGTTTGCTTCAGTTGTATAGTTTAAACAGTCTAATCGATCTATGTATTCTATCTAATCAGATCATTTCAATTATATCTAACCATTCACATAAACAAAAATAAGATTCAGAAACGATTAATTCCAGACATTCAACTACGCAAATTAAACAAACCAACCTTCTTATCCATACTAGGGAAAAACGATCGGAGCTTATCAATGAGCGACGGCGACGGAGGCGAGTTAGTAAAAGGTGAAAACCTAACCGGAGAAGTCGAAGTGAAGCAACGAAGTTTCTTGGCAGCAGGAGGAGATGCAGAATTCGGCGACGTTGGAAGGTCTTCAAAGAACGATCTCTTCCCACACACAATCGCAGACATTGTTTGTTGAAAATCAATTGAATTCAAACAAACACAGTTCTGCTGGTCCTACAAACCAAGGAATCGAATCGATCCAATAACCTGCCTTTCAGAAATGTCCGTTCATACGTAATTTGAAGCGATTTGGGGTTAGGGTTTTGGGTGTTGGTGAGGGAGAAGATGAGATGATGGCAATAATTTGGGGTTTCTTTGTGGAGGAGGAAGAGGAGGTTTTGTTTATGTGAAAAGCTACGCATTAGCAGAGCGCGTGTTTCCTTCTACAGGGGAAAGCTTTTAAAATTGTACTTTTGACCAAATGACAATTTCACCCCCTTAACTTTGCAGCTTTTTTCTTTTGTAAACTAAAAGTTTAAATTAGAGTAAATTTTACGTTTTCAGTCCTTGTGGTTCGTTAAAAGTTTCGATTTTATTCTCTATTGTTTAGAAATCGCGTTTTTCATCTTTATGGTTTGTAACTCATTGTTATTTTCACATTCATGATTTACAATTTATTGTTGTTTAGGTACTTGTGGTTTACAATTCTTTACTTTTTTGGTTCCTTACACTTAAAAGTTGAAATTAGTTAAGAGACGAAAATAACAAAAAAATGCAAATTATAGGGACGAAAATCACAATTTATAAACCACGTAGATGAAAATCAAAATTATTAACAAACCACAGAGACTAAAATCGTAATTTACTCGTTAAATTATTAAAATATAAACATTCAGTTCTTTTTATTTCGTACATATTTTAACTGAATTTTCAATCTGTAACATCCACGTCATCGATAATATAAGATATCTGAGCTACCAAATAAAATTAAAAAATTAATTGTTATTATTGATTAAGAAAATTAATTGTTAATATTGATTAAGAAAATTAATTATTAATATTAATTAAGAAAATTAATTGTTATATTAAATAGGAAACAAACTTTGTATGTTAAATTTTATTCCCTTTTTTGGTGTGTGACCGAATCGATGTAGGTCGATTGTGTGTCTCATCAGAGTAGGGGCGCTCAAAAACCCGACCAATTCGATCAATTTAATCCAACTCAACTCGAAGTAACCTGATGTCTAATTGAGTTGTAAAAATTTTAAACCGTAGGTATTGTGTTGATATTAAGTTACTATTATTTAAACTCAACCCAAACCGATGAACATGATATCATTTTATTTCTCGGATCTAATATGATTGTTAATTTCTATTAATATATACATTAGACAGTTACACTACCACGTATGCTCTTCATATACACACATTTTCAATCTATTAACATCTCTATATAACTTATGTTGAGTAACTGTGAACATATATATGTAAATGAAGAAAATTAACTGAATATGATATAGGTAAGAAGTATGTATAAATTGTATCAAATGGTTGATAATAAAAAAAATTATGAGTAAAGAAATAACGTATTCAAGGTTTGAAGAATATTTTAATATACCAAAGTATCAATCCGACCAACCCGTATGGTTTGGGTTGGATTAGGTTAAGATTTTTCAACCATAAGCATTGGGTTGAATTGTTCAAATGTCTTCAACTCGATCAACCGAACTCATAGAAAACTGGAGAGCTATAAGAACACATTTAATTGAAATATAAAAGGTTGCATGTATTTACAATATAAACAACTTTTAACTAAGCACTTGGCATCCGTTTCTTGTCCATTCGATTTCCAGATAAAAAATCTGAATAATCAAAACCAAACGAATCCAGTAAATCCCATTCAGATAAAAATGAAATCATCTGGCTGTAACAGCAGGTGAAGCACCTTCTCTAGATAGCATGTTTGCAACAGGTGACGGAAGCCACTTCGACTTCCCGCCACTGTTCTGCCCATCTTGGTTGCCGCCACCGCCACCACCGCTATGTACCCGACTCGTACGACCTTTCTTGATTCTAGCGCCAACACTATGGCCCACGAAGAAACCAAACTTCATAGCCGTAAGCACACCGAACGCAATCGTCAACGGCCTCACGGCCCAGTGATAATCCTCAACATGCTGAAACTTATCGACCAAAGTTGGACATGTATCGAAAGAAACGTGTTCAACTTCAGCCGGATCGGCTAAAAACGAGCTCCGTTCACCTTTGAAAACGAACCTCCCCGGAAATCGCACAATAAGACACCCATTCGGGAGTATTTGTGAAATCTTACCGGTGTCCCATGTTCCCTCTCGTTTATGCAGCCATGGAAACCGAGGGGTAATGACGTTTCTCTTCAACCTCACGAACTGTCCAACGCAAAACGGCTTTGCCATTTGGAGCTGCGAACTTTGTCCTTCCCATAGAGTCTCGAGTCCTATGAAACCAACGCTAACACTTCCATCACGCTCGATCGAGTGTAGAATGCCTATAGACGAGTGGTTCCTTTTCTCCTCCACCAAATGCACCCAAACCCCAGCCGCTAAGCCAGAGGTGACCCTTTCGAGAGTGGTGATGTTAACCCTCAAAGGGTTGTGGATTCCTTGGACTCGAACCAGAACAAACCCATCTCGGTCGGTATCTTTTTCCAAACCAACTACGGTTCCTTCTGCCACAGCCATGTTTTGAGGTTTGCAATTGTTGTGTGTTTTTCGAGATCGAACAACATCGCCGACTTGCAGATGATCTTTTGTAAGAAACCATGTGGAGTAGCCACTTCCGAGCGTTCTATCGGGTGATATTCTGCTCCCTAGACCAATCCACTCTCCTTCGTTGAACACAGCATCAAGCGAACTGCAAGTTTAATATCGACTTCTTAGAATGGAGACTTTAACCAACAAATAGCAGCAAGTCCTTTTCTATCTTATTCACATGTGAATGGATAAAGACAAGGTATTTACCTAAAGAATATACAACAGTTAAGATGCTGGCTTATCACTTTGAAGAAAGATTACAAGAACGCAAGGTGAAATATGTTGTGTTAGAGTTCTACATCGGCTACGACTTGGAACATTTACTCCTCAAAATATGTTGAAACCTACCTTCTCCTCTCAAGGATTTTGGAGAGTAGTTCCACATATTCTCACATAGTATATTAGTCCATTAGAGTCAAGGTCATATATGTTGGAACTTACCTTCTCTCCTCAAGGGCTCTTTTGAAGAGTAATCTAGTAAGATTTCCCGTATTTTGGCATCAATATACCACTTTTGGCACTCGACACTCTTGGCAATCTGTCTCATAGCCCCCTCTCGACACTCTAGGATAATATGTGCCCATCTGGCCTCAGTTGGAGCCTTAGAGGGGGCATGTTACGGTGCGTTTGGTATCCGGACAGGACAGAAAGGAACATGACAGAACAACTGTTTCAATGTTTGGTAAGATATAACTGGACAAGACATAACAGATAAAATGACTAATTTACCCCTAATGAGTTGTTATTATATACTTTGATTAATTTATGTAATTTATTAAATTATAATGGAATAAATTTTTTTATAACAAAATATATCATTAGAAATTTCTCCCGACTAAAATGACACCAAAATAAAAGGTTTATGTAGTTTCTCAATTTTTATTTTATACTTCTTCTATATTATTTTTTATTATTAATATTACATGAATTAATCAAAATAGAAACCATATAAAATAATATTTTGGGACAATAAAGCGAAAGTTTAAAGACCATAAAATATGATAAATAAAATTTAAAGAATGAATAAAATGTAAAGAAGCAGGCGTATTTGATGTTTAAGAAGAGAAATAGGTTTTATTTTGAGGTTATATTAGTAAAATACAGGTCTATTCTGTCATGTTCCACTTGGTTCCATGGGGTGGGCTGATACACGCCTGTTCCACTTCGTTCCATTCTATTCATGTTTGTTCCACATAAAAGTTCTACCAAACATGGAAGAATGATCTCTATTTTGTCATGTCCGGTGCACTAAACGCACTCTAAGAATCCCACATCGGCTAGGGGGCTCTTTTGGAGAGTAATCTAATAGGGTTCAACATATTCTCACATTGACAATTAGTGAAAGGAAAATGATACACACACAGAGAGAGATTGAACCAACCTTTCAAAGGCACGCAGAATATCTCCAATAAGTGGTCGATTGCGAAGATCATACTCAAAACAGCCATTAAGAACATTTTCAACTGCAGGAGGCAGACCACTTGGAAGCTGCGGTTTTTCTTGCTTTAACACGACAGAGTTGTATATCTCGCCGACAGATTTACCGAACCAAGGTTGCACACCAGTCAACATCTCCAATATGCAGCATCCAAATCCCCAACTATCAGTCTCAATGCTTATTGGACCTCTGACTTCTGGCTGCCATTGTTCTGGAGCCATGTAGTTCGGGGATCCAAGCCTAAGAGACATATCCGGGTCAGGCAGTTGAAGCCCGAGAAGAAGAAATGGGATCCCAAAATCTCCGAGGACCACTTGATCATGTTCATCAAGAAGAAGATTAGTTGGCTTTATATTCAACACCAAGATGTTTAACGAGTGCACTTCATGGATTCCTTTAGCTAACCCCACACCATACCTGCAAAAGATTTAACAATTGCTTATGTTGTCTGTCACTTCCCCACTGGGGTGTTGCAAAAAACAACTTGTATGTCATTTTTAATTAAAAAAATCCGTTCTTTTAGCTATGCCAATAATTGAAAAATCACCTCAGTACATCAGGCAATGGAAGCTTTCCTCCTTTTAGCTTTGCCATTCGATCACCCACTGATCCCTCATAAAATTTCATGGCAATGCAGATATGTGGAGAGGCCTGGAAGCAAAGCAATCTAGTGAATTAGTTACATAACTATGCTAAGGGGCTGCTTGGTTGGATTTCCATTAAGTCATGTATTGATAAAGTTATCTGTGTGGATTAATATGTCTTTATAGATTGGGAAAGTTTTTGTTTGGAAGAGTTTTTTCATAGATCGAAGGAGCCTGTATTTTAAATGAAAGGAGCAGGTTTGAAACTTCTTTGGCTTTCTGCATAAAGCTCTCCCCTAGAAACTTACTGTATAAGCCATTTTATGTATCATTAAGCCACTATCAAACAGATATACATAGCTGATCGAATAAGCTATGAGTCTCATGAAGCTCATTAAGCTACTAACAAACAGGCCCTAAAAGAATGCAAATGATAAACTTTTTTTAAAGTATATAATATTTATACAAGACAAATACTCACGCACACTCCTCGCCTTTGGGGAGGTTTGAACCTTTGACCTCCACGGAGGCTAGGATTTACCAATAACCAGGTTACCACTGGGCCAATGACCCTTGGTAAGACATGATAAACTTGTTATTTAGAAATAAAACAAACCACCTTTCCAGATATGACAGAGATACCATGCAACCAACAAACACTTGGGAGTTTACGGAACCTCAGGAATAACTCCTCAAACTTAACCAAAAACTTTGGCATGTCTTCCTCCTTTACAGGATGTAACATCTTCATGGCCACTTCATGATACTCGTCATAATCATGTGCTGATTGATGATGTGTAGCCAACCAGACATCACCAAAAGGTCCATGTCCAATCCGATGCTTAAGTTTCAACAAAGAAGGATCTATCCGAGGACTGGGTTCACTTGGTGTAGCTACAACGGTTCGAAGATGTTCAGGATCCCCTTCGTAGAGCATATAATCAAACGAAGGTGGTGATGGCTCCGATCCTGCCTGTTCAGCCATTTTACTTTGAAACTGTGTACACAAAGACAGACAGCTGTCAATTGAAATAGGAGAAAAGTTGTACTCTATGAGCTAATTGCAAAAAGTTGATCGATAAGTAAGCAGAATAAACCACAAGGGGTGTGGCGTAGTGGTTGAGACCCAAGGGGTGTGGCGTAGTGGTTGAGACCCAAGGGGATGTGGTAGAATATCCCATTTGCCTTGGGTTTAATTCCAAGCGTCCACAACAATTGTGACCACAGAGTTTAGTAGGGTTGATGTCTTATAGTCGCAATTTGCCGGGATTAGTTGGGCATAGCCTGAGACACCCTTTCAAAAAAAGTAAGCGGAATATTGAACTAACAATTGTACAGATACATTGAATGTTTTTATGACATCTACAATTACAAATTCCACAAATTCCTTCTCTTGTTTCTTTATATTGTAGTTTAGAACTGAAAGCTTTGATTGCATCTTTTCATTGACAGAAAAGGGGTATAAATAGGGTACATTAGAACAAGGAAATGAATGAGAATAGGAAATGATCCTAAGCCATAGTTGTACAGTCTTCTAATTAAGGACACAATATACAGTCGTACAATGGTCTCGACACCCTGGGGCAATTTGTACTCGTCTAGCCCCCTCTCGACACTCTGTGACAATCTGTGCCCATCTAGCCTCTATTGGAGTGGGCGTAGCGAATGTGTTGGAACTTCCGTTTTCACTTAAAAAGGGCTCTTTTGGAGAGTTCATCCATCTATTCCTTCGGGGCTGTTTGATTGGTTTTCCATTAAGACTGTATGGATAAAGTTGGTCGGTATAGGTTGGGATGGTTTTTTCCATAGATGGAAGGAGTGTGTTTTTAATTGGTAGGGGCAGGTTTGGAAAAAAAAACTTGGCTTACTGCATAAAGCTCCCTTAGAAGGTCACTCAATAAGCCACTTTTTATATCATTAAGCCAATAGTATAGCTGACTGAAAAAGATGTGTCTCGTCAAGCTGCTAACAAACATGCCCTAAGAAAGTATAGCAAAACAAGAAAACCCTAACCCACCTACCAATCGACCACACTGAAAAACGGTACTACAATGAAAACCATCCAAATGAGATCACGGTGTTTAGATATACCGCAAGTTTTCATCTGATCATATAATCTTTCAATTCAACAATAATAAGAATTCTCCAAACAATCCGCTACAGAAAAACTAATTTCTAACAACGAAATGTAAAATTCCCCTACCATCTCTTACTTCAATCACTTTATTGCAATAATTCTTGACAGTAACAATAATCATTTCAACAAACACATCAAAACACCCCCAAAATCTAAACAAATTATCAAATTCAAAAAACAATCGTGTAATCAAACACAAAATTAAGGCTCAAATCAGTTCAAACTAAAGGTAAAAAGATAAATCACCCGAAAAAAAGCGACCGTAAACAAGGAAGATGATACAATCTGTAATCGATCGTCAACAAGTTGTTGAAGTAATATACAGATGAATGAAGTTACTTTACGAGTGGGAAGATCGATGAAAGAGAGGAGTATACGTTTGGGAATAGTGAAATGGACGTCGGTTTTCGCGAGCGGCAAAAAAGCAGCAGGAGATGGGAACACGTTATACTCCTTGGTGACGTACCAAAAGAGTGATTCCAGTTACGGGTCAACACAATTTATAAATTAGGAGAAATTATCCACAAATAGCTTCCCAATTTGCGAATTTTGAGCAACATGTTAGATCTACTTTTTATGAATTTGATATTTATATAGTAATGTTTTGCTAAGTTGTTAAAGTGCTACTTATGAAATGTTTTTCTTTGATCAAAATTACAATTCATTTGTTTGGTTTATTCCAATTATTGTCGCTGTTACAACTATCACTCACCCCCACCTTGCCTTACCCTATTCCGACCTACCACTAACCATCATGTCCATACTGTTACAGTTATACTCATCCACTCCTAGCCACCCGACCACCATCTCATCACTGTCGTTGTCACATTTACCACCGTGCCACCCATCCCCACCGCCCCACCCCGCCCCTAACCTAACCTAACCCTCACCCCCACACCACTATTGTCGCATTCACAATCGCCCCTCACCCGCACCCCACCTACCCAATCCACCACTAAACACCATGCCACTATTGTTGTCGTCATACCCACTCACTTCCAGACCACTATCACACCATTGTCATCGTCACAGCTACTACCCCACCACCTACTCCTACCCACCCCATCGTCCCGCCCCGCCTCCACCTTACCCTACTCTAACCTACCCCTAACCACTATCTTACCACTGCAGTCGTCACAGCTACCACTCTGCCACCACTCTAGCCCCACACCCACCACCTCGCCCCACCCTGCTTGCTCCCAAAGGATGGGCCAGGAGTGGTGGGATGGGGTTGGGGCGGTGGTCAGGGTAGTTGTGACGACGATATTAGTGAGATGGTGGTTGGCAGGGTGTGGGCGGGGCGATGAGTGCGATAGTCCAAACAAAGACGATTATTCCAATTCTTTTGAGAGATTTCATTCCAATTCCTACCAACCAAAACGAATGGTCAAATTTCATCAGATTCATTCAAAGTCAAATTTCATTTATAGATTCCAATTCTATTAAATTTCATTATCTGAACCAAACAACCCCTAAAATTCTCTATATTTTTTCTTCTATTTTTGTACACATATCACAATAAATATATGGTATTCGTTGATTACAATGATTTTGGTAAGGGAATCAAGAAAGTTTTTTTTGACAAAATTCCAAAGTAAATTATTTAATTTTTGGTATTATAATACTACAGCATTATTGGTTATAGAATTTTTGTATTTTTGGTGTTATTAAGATGCTTAATAAATACTTAAACATTGACTTTGGCAATGTTAAATCTTGTAGCTGTAACTGTTAATCGATTATCAGTTAATTTGAATATTGTTTAATCGGTTTTTGGATTATAAGAAAGTTAACGTCAATCGAAGGAACAAGAATCTTAATATGGAGTTTCAGATATTCAAATATAACGTCGATAAGCTTTTACATAAACTACGTTTACATTCTATTCACAAATTAACCAAACGTATGATTATCAGTTGTCGGGTTTTTGTTGTTTGAAGTCGACGTTTTTGCTTCGTTATCGATGTTTTGACTTTTTTAGCACTGATATTATGTATTTGAACATATCGGAATCATAATAATTAGCATTTAATACCTTTTATGAATATTAAAAACAACTTTCTACTCAATTATTGATTTAAAAAGATATAATAAAAATTAATGGTGAAAAAATAGATCCATGAAAAGCGGTTTTATAAGTTACTAATTTGAGTTGCATTTGGTACGCATACATGATTGGACTGTACATGACATAATATGACATGATTTGACTGGAAGGGCAGGATCAGACGGGAGCGGACCAAGCAAGATAAGACTGGACATCACAAATGTATGTCTGCTGTTTGGTATGACTAAGACCGATAGTTAGCAAAGATGTAGTAAAAAAAAAATACAAAAAATAAGTTCTTATAAATTACTCCATTACAGATGCTGTTACACCAAACCAAGGTTAGGACCAATAACCTAGTTGAAAAGCATATCATATCCAAAGGCCGACTCAACAGATCAAGGCTATGTTTGACATACTAGTTACTAATATTTATATACAGTAAATAGAACAAATAAATTTACACAGTCTTCACATTTTGTAAGGTTTGAACCTCTGACTTCTTAGGAGGTCAAAGACTTGCATATCGCTAGATCAAAGGCCCTTTGGTTTAATAAACTAGTTGTTGGAAAAAAAACTGAAAAACTAATGATCGACTAATAAATTAACTGTTAATTGATAAACTTATCTGTGTTTGTAAAAATTATAAGCCAAGTGATGATTTAAAATAACCCAAAAAAATTACGATGAAAATTTATATAAAACAGCCAAGAAACCACAAATCAACATCGCAAGACAGTTTTCTCGTAGGGCCACTGTGGCATATGTCTTTCCAGTGACGCAAGTTACGGTATGTCCTTACGGTGTTGCAAGCTGGGACTTTCACTTGCTTTTTGTGCACCGAGGCATGTGCTTGTGGTGCCGCAAGCTACGGTGTCTCAATTTATTTTGCCGATAGGCCCACTTTTCATCTGGACACGTCAAAAAGGTTGGCTAAAAAGTAAATATATGCTTGATTTCCCATTTTTCACAACAAATCCGTTCCAAATAACACAGTAATATCCACACACTAACTGGGAAAAATTGAAAAAGAAGAAGCAAATAACACGATAAAACTGGCATAAAAAATGAAGCTTTTTTTACAAACCAACTCAGCCATGCCCCCCGGCCCCCGCCCCCATGGACTTCATCTTCTATATCCCCACCACCTTTTCAATCTCTTCTTTTTGTGCTTTCTCCACAGAAATAGAATCACAACTATCATCAGCAACAGAAACCCCATCATTGTAATCATGTTTTCCACAAAACATGTCATCATTCTCCAAAGCATCAACCTTCTCTTTTGATTCCCCCTTCAACAATTCAACCACTTCGAGAATCGTTGGTCGTTTGTCGGGTTGATTTCGAGCACAGATCAGACCAACGAGGCTGACCCTTTTCATTTCGTCAGCCGAATAGTTCCCGTTCAGTTTTGGATCTGCGATTTCACTGAAATTTTTCTGGCATGCTAATGGTAGAGCCCATTCTGTGATTGACCTTCTCGTGGTGCCGTGTAGCTTCTCAATAGGTTTCTTGCCACTAGCGAGTTCGAGCAGAAGAATGCCGAAGCTGTAAACGTCACAACTCTCTGACGCCTTTCCTAGCATTGCGTATTCAGGGGCGAGGTACCCGAGTGTGCCTTTGACTCTGGTGGTAACGTGTGTGGCGCCATCCGGGATTAGCTTTGCGAATCCGAAATCAGCCACCTGGGCGTTGAAATCTGCGTCTAGCAAGACGTTGCTCGCTTTAATATCTCTGTGGATTATGTGTGGTGTGGCATGGTGGTGAAGATAGCTGGATGATATATAATCAAGAAACTATTATGTCAGATTCCATTTGGTGGCATATATTTGGGGAAAAACTAGATTACTGGCAACTCAAACAGACCCCCAAACAGAACCAGCCTCCAAGGACACCAATCTGATGGGGTATTTTTTGGCTCACTAGGCGTCTGAGCCTAGGTCCGGGAATGAATACAAGCTTGTCTTGTATTTGGGCAAAATCGCCCCATCCTTTTGCCAACTGAGCTACACGCTAGAGGCGGTTCCAACATATATTGAGGAGAAATAATTTAAGTCTGGCCGATGTGGACTCTAACACGCCCCTCCAATGGAGGCTAGATGGGGACGGGTTCTCCTAGAGTGTCGAGTCATAGAGTAGTAGACCTTGGTTGTAATACCATGTGAGAATATGTGGAACCCTATTAGATTACTCTCTAAAAGAGCCCTTGAAGAGAAACAGGAAGTTCCAATATATATATATATGGAAGAGACATGGTCCAAGTATAGCTGATGATGCAGCACTCTAACACGCACCCTCCAAAGGAGGCTAGAAGGACACAGACTGCCCTTGAGGGTGCGTTTGGTACATTGAACAAGACAGAGCAGGGATCACTGTTCCACGTTTGGCAAAAAATTTATGTGAAACAAAGGGGGGCTAGTTCCACTCCCACCCCATGAAACAAGGTAGAACAGACCTATATTTTACCAATATAATCTCAAAATAAAAAATAATTCTCTTAAAACATCATATACGCCTCTTTCTTTACCTTTTATTCTTTCTTTAAATTTTATTTATCGTATTTTATGTTCTTTAAACTTTCACCTAACTATCCTCAAAATATTATTTTTATATGGTTTCTATACTTTGATTAATTTATGTAATTTATTAAATATTAATAATAAAAAATGATATAAAAAAGTATAAAATAAAAATTGGAACTATCTGTACTTTTTGTTTTGGTGTTATTTAATGTCTTGAAGAAAATTTCCTAATGATATATTTTATTATTATAATTTAATAAAATATATAAATTAATCAAAATATATAAACAATTCATTAGACATAAATTGGTCATTTTATCTGTTGTGCCCTATCCAATACGTCTTCCAAACACTGAACAGATGTTCTGTCCTGTTTAGTCTAGATACTAAACGCACCCTGAGTGTTGATGTGGACTCTAACATGTATCTAAATTTGGCAGAAAAAACACAAAGTACTTATTCGGGTGTTCTTGAATACTCAACGACAAGGATTGAAGTGCTTACACAATTCCTTCTGCAGATCCGATAGCAATGGTCATTCGTCGATTCCAATCAAGAAGGCATTCAGCAGAGTGTTGGCCATGAAGATGTGAAAGTAAGCTGAGATTAGGCATGTAATCATACACGATTAATCGTTCTTGACCTTCTGCACAATATCCCCGTAAACTGAGTAGATTCTTGTGTCTAACCCGTGCAAGTATCTCAACTTCAACGGCAAATTCCATCTCCGCCTTATTGCTCCAAACCTTCAATCTCTTCACTGCAATCTGCACATATGTCCCTTGTCAGCAATGGGCAATTGTATATCAATCTTGGCAACCATAAGCTATCTTGTTTTTTGAGCTTACTGAAAAAGCCCCATTTGGTTAGCCATAAGGTAGCTTAATGAAACGCTATTTTTCAATATGCTTTAGGGGCTTTTTCCACTTATTTACAATTATACCCCTTATGTTTTTCCACTTATTTACAATTATACCCCTTATGTTTTTCCAATTAATTTCGATATAACTTTTTTGGTTATTTTACATTATCAGCTAGTTTTAACTGAACATGACTAGTTTATGAGCTAGTTTTTCAGCTAACAACCATCTTATTAAGTTAGTTTGCTAAATATAGCCTAAGGGGCCGTTTGGTTCGGACAATCCGAAGAAATTTGATGGAATTGGAATGACAAATTCCTTGATGATGTTTGGTTTGAGGATTGAATTGATTGATTCCGCCAAATTCTATGGTTGAAGGATTTGATTATTCTTTGCCATAAGTAAGAGAATTGAATTGTGTTGACCAACTTCTAATCATAAAACATATGCAGCCATTGTTCATTGTTGGAATACAATCACATAAACATAATAATAGTTGATGCAAGGAACCAAAAACTTAAAAACCCTAATCCCACAAACTTGAATCCACTTTGAACATATTTAGCGCTTGATAAAACACATATGAGATTGTTTGTCAGCAACATAATAAGCTTAATGAGACTCACAACTTATTTGGTCAACTATAAATATCTGTTGGGTAGTGACTTAATGATAAAGAAAGAAACTTAGTCCTTAAGCTTCTAGAGGGAACTTTATGCAAAAAGCCAAGTTTTTTCCAAACATGCCTCTTTCAATTAAAGAACACGTTCATTCCATCTATGAAAAACCCTGCCACACAAAAACCTTCTCGATCTATACAGACAAAGTACCCAACCAAACAACCCTTTAACCAATAAGTGATGAATTAATTGAAAAACAAAAGCTTTTTGATGATAGAGATTAGTTGATTACTTGAGATCCATCCCAAAGTTGGCCCCAATAAACACTCCCAAATCCACCTTCTCCAAGCTTATTATCATAATTAAAATTGTTTGTAGCAGAATGCAATTCCTTCAATGAGAATATCCTCCATGTTGACTGTTTCTTCTTGTTCTGTTTCCTGTAAAATTTAGGATTCCAATTCTAAACAGTCAGTCCAAAAAAACCCTAATTTCATCGTAAAAGTCAAAATCAATAGGCATCAATTCAACAACATCCATAACAATCATATCACGTAACTGCACTAAAACGTTTCAAACTCTAATCCCCCCCTTTTTTCCGCTAAATCCCCAATTTTCCATTAGCGTTAATCCAACAAATTCGACATAAGCAAACGAAAAACAACATCAAACATGGAATTCAAACAGTTTAAGAGCAGAATCAGCTCAATTAAACCTTAACAATGGACAAAGTCAATGGCATCGATAAAATTAAAATTGGTTCGAAAGTAACGAGTTAGCATTATAACTGGGGTTTTATTCGATCAATTGAACACTGATTTGAGTTAAACATACCGATCGAATCCTCTGAGGCAGCAAAAATAGGAGTGAAAATCCATAAGCCGACAAGCTTAGCGAAGCGTTTAATGGAAGTTTTTGAAGGTTGAGTGTGTAAAAGAAGCTTTGTAATCCAATAAGAATCTAAGCCACGAGGACCAAAATGGGAGGAAGCGTAAAGCTATTGGCTATGGTGGAAAGCTGACATCAAAGAGCAAAAATGGAGTTTGAGAACAGGGGTTCGCCGTTAATCTTTTTGGACTTCTGATGACCTTTTTGGGTAATAAGAAGAAAGTGGGGTCCAATGCCTTAATTTTAAATTCCTAATTTTTGTTTTTTCCATAAATAATTGTTGGGATACCTTTTTTTAATAATTCATTACTACAAAATAATTGAGATATTTGAATGGGAAATTCACTGATAATTTATCTTTCTATTTTACCTAAGGGGTTGTTTGTTTACCTCTTAATAATTTTATTAAGAGACAATCTCTGAATCGTTAAAAGGTAAATCTTGTTTGGTAAAAAAAAAATCTGCCTCTTATTGATTCTAAAATCCTCTGAATTATTTTGTATTATGGATCTCCCTTAACCATTAAGAACCTTAATTTCATTATACACAATTACCAAACAGTTATATTTCATTTTGCACTATATCATAAGAGCCTCTTAATTATTTTGACTACTTAATCATTCTGCACCAAACCATTCAGCAATTGTCAAATAACCCCTAAATGTCACTATTTTTGCAGGTTAATATACGGAGGTAGTTAAAAGACAAAAGTAATCTACAAGTGTCACCTCCGTAATTTGCGGGTTTGTGCAGAAATTACGGAGGTGCCACTTACAGACCCGGACAACAATTGTATTTTTTTTTTGTCTCTTAGCTACCTCAGCAATTGTATACTCTAACAGCTATGCTAAATTGTATGATAAAAATTTTATACTCTAACAGCTATGCTAAATTGTATGATAAAATTGAAAAAGTGAGAGAGGATATGAAAATCTCTACATCAAGATAAATTGCTATGAGCATCTCCAACGGTTATGTTATTTTAGAAATTTGGAAAAACTGTGTTTCAGCAGTTATACTAAACTCTCCTCTAAAATAGATAAAAAAAATTGAAGATAGGATGAAAAATATCTCCAAATTTAGAAGAACTGAGAAAAAATATAACATATATTTTGGAGATGCTCTGTAACTTTATATAAGAGAGAGAAATAGTATTTTAATTATTTTCCACCAATAAGAGGTATTGAAATTAATATTAAGGAGAAATACATAATATTTATTAAACGTATAAGATATTTCAAAATTATATTTAATGTTAACTGCTAAAATAGAGTAGTTATCTGAGTTGGATGCAGTTTTCTGTAAAAATTGTGACTTTTGATTCTCCATTCTAGAAAAATTATAGCATAGTTGTTGAAAAGATGTTGTAAATCAGTCATAATAATTATACGTTGTTGATTACTTGTTAATTGTTTTTTACTGTGTAAATGGTTTTTATCTGGCTAAAAGGAACGGTGCTTATCAATACATCTGACCTACAAAAATGCTGACTAATATATTGATCTGGTAAGGAAGGAGTTACTTTGGACTCGACCAACGTTTACCTAGACTCTTGGTAGACACCATTTTCAATCGATGTTTACTGAGACCAAATCTTTTAATTATATTGTATTTTTAGGGGTCGTTTACCAAATACTTATTGAGTAAGCTCTTACTAAATCACATTACCTTACTGAATGAATATGACAAAGACCAAAAATCTTACACAGTACGAGCAAAGCAAGGAGCGAGATTCTTACCCGGTAAGTGAAGACGACGACTCTTACCATGGTTAGCGCTTATCGGGTAAATTATTTCATACTATACCATTTTGGTGGATAAAAATCTTACAAAGTAAGTAACTGATAATGTTGAATTTTACCGGTGAATGATTACTCAGATAAACGTTTTGTAAACGTCCCCTTACTTGATTAACACTTATCTAATATGTGTTGCTAAATAGTCTCTTGATTTTCTATTGTTTGATTAAACATATTGTACTTGTGATTTTTTAGTTAAATAATTAGATTTTAGAAAGTATTTTAATTAAGTAGAAGGGTACTCGTACAATGCAGCGAGATACATTTCGATTTTAGTATTTCATTTTATTTTTTCAATTGATGTTATAATATGGTCTTATGTGATTTTGAAAGAGCGATAATGTTTTTATTTTTGAATAAAATATAAAATTGAAAATATCATAAAAATTTGACAAAATTATATCGATATTAGTATCAAATTAACTATTTAAAATTCATCTTTTTTGTTTTTTAATTCAAATTTTTTAATTACAATTTAATTTAAGTTCAATAACAAAGTAATTTATATTTGGTTTAGTAATATAATTTCCTTATAAAGATAATAGTTAATTATTTTGTTAAAACTCGATAATTATCCTGATTATATTTTAGATTTTTAATATTTTAAAATGAGATGTTTTATCCTTTATCTGATTATGTTTATCCGCCAATTAGTTACACGAATTCAAACGTGGAGCTTTAATAAGTTATACTTATGCATAATTTACTTGTAATCCTTGAACTTTAAGTAATATACATCAATATACAATACTTCATACATAAAAATGGTTTTTAAGAGTTTTTGTCAAATATTTTATAATATAGTATAGATATTTTAATTACCGATTTATCCTTGTCATTAATCTTTTCAGAGAGGTGACACAAAATACTCTGTTTTACGAGGACTTCAAAGCTTGACACGTGTCCACTCAAAAGTGCACTTTGTATTTTGTGAGCTACTTATATCCGTATAGTTATAGTTGAAGAATCAGGGGAACTACACCAATAAAGAGGCAAAAACGAAAAAAAGTGAGAAAGGTAGATTATAACCCTTATATTTTTTTTATTAATCTAGATATCTAACTCAATATATGAGCCGACTAATCTCAGAGCGACCACCTGCTTCGTGGGTAGTCAGAATCATCGTATTTGAATCTCCGTAGCCATAAATGGATTTTTATTTCTCTCTGAATTTTAAACCTAGGAGCTCCAGACACTTTTGACTTTTGAGTCCAAACTCAAACCAATCGGACACCACCCTTATGGTTTTATTTTTTTCTATCCAATTAATATGAAATCAAAGGTTATATTTATAGGAATTTAAATAAAAGGTTATATTTAAAAACTAATTATACTTGAAAATTAATCATATATAAAATAATTTAGCATCTCACGAGCTTTTCGAGTCGAGTATTGAGTAGCTTGACTCGACTCGTTAATACGTCGAGTCAAGCTCAAGTTCAAACCAAGCATTGACCAAATCGATCTCGAATAGCTCACTAGTTGTCTCGTATCATTTACACCCCTCGTTGAAACTATGATGACATTTAATATATTAATGAATATATGAAATGAAGTAAATGCAATTATTTATGATGATGTGAATCATAAGAAACCTTAAATAGATGTTAAAGGTTTTGTAGAAAGACAACACATGTTTGGTATTAATGAAGGGTAGGTATGCCTAACCATTCAATTCTTTATGCTTAATAATGAGGAAAAAACTAGCATTTTATTTTATTTTTGTTTTTTTTATAATAAAAAAAACACAACATTTGATTTAACATTATATGAAAAAATAATGTACTTTAATTTGATTTTTATTTTGGGTAATGTACTTTCAGAACTTCTATTTTGGTACATAAGATGTAAAGTTTTAAACAATTAAGTGTCCGGGTAACCGGTGGAAGCATTAACCAGTTACCGTGATGATGTGGTATTCATCTCAGTATTATTTGCTGATGTGGTTAGTGATATGAATTTTTTTTAATCTAAAATTAGTTTTCAACCGGTTAGTACTTAAATGATTAAAACTTTACATCTTAGGTACCAAAATAGAAGTTTTGAAAGTATGTTAACCGAAATAGGAATCAAGTTAAAGTACGTTTATTTTTCATGCAATTTGCCCTAAGATATAATATATTTCAAAAGTTTTTGACAATACTCTTAGGTGACGTTTGTTTTTTAAAAGGTGTTGAAGTCTGAAATCTTATTTTGTTTCTGATTTATAAGAGCTGGTGTTGAAGTCTGAAATCTCAATCAATAAGAACATTTGTTTTTGTAAACGTCTTAATTTGTTTAAATTGTCTATTTTTACTTATTAAAAAATTAAACTGTTGAATTTATGGATAAATTTATAAAATTTCACATATTTATTCATCATCATTACAAAATTTACTTCTAAATTATATAATTAACATTCATTTAAACGAAAATATGTCATTAACGGTATTTAACACATTTAAATCCTGTTAAAATACATTAATTGAGAGGGGTCATGATTGATTTGGTAAGGATCGATTGAGAGAAGTGATAGATCAAGGTAAATCGATTGAGAAACGCCGTTGTTTAGGGTTTGAAGAACAATAAGAGACAAATAAAAAGTTGATTTACTTCTTACCAGATAATATAAATGCTTTTGAAAAATTTGCAAAAACAAACAGTCTAAATGACCTCATCTCTTAATAAATAAGACATAAGAGACTAATAAAAGTTTTTTTTTAATAATAAATCATATTCCAAAACCATGTCCTCCGTATTAAATTTCAACAGGGGAAATTTATATCAAAATAAGATTTATTTTACTCTTAATATTTATTATTTTTATTAACTATATAATATTATATATAAGGCCAGTTTCAGAAGAAAAACCATAAAAAATAAAAGTTAAAAAACACTCTGATAACCGTTCATCTAAACAGTATGCACATATGCATACACGTAATTTTTAAGCAATCTATCTGATATGCACATGTGCTCAGATTTGTATATATTCTAACTTTCGACACTGTTTTCAAATGGATCTTACTGTATATATTCAGTTTGGTTACAATATTCCTTTTTCCTAATTACAGCCATTAGAGTCCAGACCACTATGCGTGTTGCGTGCACATCGTCTAATCATATGTTCAGTATAGACTCGAACTCGAACCGGGATCTTAGATAGAATTCCGTATACAAATAAATAAACCGTCACAATCTTATCACATCTCCGTCAAACGAGCTTCTTTCTTGTAACATGTTTATTAACCCGGGTATCATTTGCATGATTACGTTGTCGTCTTCATCTTACCCATCACATAATCATTTTCAAAACGTACATGCAAAAATACATCTTTATATACAGACATTGAACTTGATAATCGATCACAACCACCGTCACCGATGGCGTTGCTAACACCACCTCCGACCACCGCCAAATTCTTCCGGAAACTTCACTACCACCACCACCCAACATGTGCACCATCCACCATCTTCATCGATCAACATTCCATTCCACCACCAAAAACCACCATCACAACCACCAATCACCGCCGCAAAAGTCAACTATTCAGAACTCGCAGTACGACAATGGAATCACAACTGAAACCGGAATTGGAGTTGGAACCTCAATTGGAATTGGAATCGGAATCGGAATTGAAATTATCAGAAGTGAAATCATCGGAATTGAAATTAGAAAGCGGTGGAGAAGGAAGGATTCTGTCGGCAGACACCATGATTACACGATTGCGAGAAATGTATCGAGGTCGGAATGGGAATAAAGTCGACAAAGTGACGCTCGGTTTGTTGGTGACGATCCATTTGCTATCGGTTTTTGCGCCATTTACGTTTACGTGGGGAGCTTTATGGTTGACGATCGGATTGTATACCGTAACGTATCTGGGAATCACACTTTCCTACCATAGAAATCTATCACATAAAACCTTCAAGATCCCCAAATGGCTGGAATACGCATTCGCTTATTGCGGAGCTCAGGCTCTTCAGGTGAATTAAAACCTTTAAACCGCCATTTTTGTTGATTCGAGCTCCGGTGTTCGTGGTCCGGTTTGGGGGCCAAACTGTAACGGCGGTTTAGGGAATTTTCTAAACCAAGCAGTTTGGCAGCAAGTGACCAAACCGGATCATAAAATGGGGGTTTTGACCGATTTAGACGGTTTGAGTATTTTATGGGCTTTAAACTAAAAAAAAATCTATCTGTAACTAAAAAAACATTGAACAAGTTGGAAAAAAAGTTAAACAGATCTACTAACAATAGTTGGAATTTTGGACAAATATTGAGCAAGTTGAATCACGATTTGGAATTTAGATTTATTTTTGACGAAATTCGGAATTTTGCTAAATTTAGATGACGCGGTCAATTGATAAATGAAAATTAAAATCATAATTTCTTCGACGAACTTTTTTTTTTGTAATTTTGTCATAAAGTTGAGTTTATAACATTAAGACTAAATATAATTAATATATGTGTACTTTTTGGCGGTCGGCTTGGTTCAGTCCGCTAAAAAAATGTTCAAAACCGTAGACCAGACTGGACGGAGCGGTTTGAGTATTTTCCAGATCCAGATCGGATTGTCAGACCGTTCAAACCGCCAAATATGGTCCGATTTGACTTGGTTCGACCGGTTTGAGCGGTCCAACGGTTTTTTTGAACACCCTAATTCGAGCTCGATAGTCCCAAAATCGAGATTGCTGATATTTTGAATCATGAATTGTGAACCATTAAGGGATCTCCGATCGATTGGGTGAGCACACATCGGTATCATCATCAATACTGCGATTCAGAGAGAGATCCACATACTCCGATTAAAGGATTCTGGCATAGTTACATCAAATGGATGCTTGATACGGAGAACGTTGCGAAAATGGTATGGATTTCTTTGATTAATTTGTGATTTCATGATACAGTTATCTTTTATATGTTGTTGTTGCAGACTGAATTGCCGAATAATGTGAGAGATTTGGAGAAACAACCATTTTATAGGTTTCTTCGAACGACTTACTTTCTGCATCCGTTGGGGCTTGGGTTCGTTCTATATGCAATTGGAGGATTTCCGTTTGTCGTTTGGGGAATAGTACGACAATTTCTATCCTCAAACTTTAAATTCCATATGAAAATATGTTTTCTTTTATATGACAAATTGCATGAAAAGTAACACACTTTAACTTGATTCCTATTATGGTACCTACGATGTAGAATTTTAAACATTTAATTACCCGAATAACCGGTTAAAGCATTAACCGGTTACCATGCTGATGTGGTATCCAACTCAACATTATTTGCTGAAACGTTTAACCAGATACCACATCACTCGTCACATCAACATGGTAACCGGTTAATGCTTCAACCCGTTACCTGAGTACTTAAATGTTTAAAACTTTACATCTTAAGTACCAAAATGAAAGTTTTGAAAGTACGTTACCCAAAATAGGAATCAAGTTAAAGTACGTTATTTTTTCATGTAATTTACCTTTTTTATATTTAATAGAACATGGTTGGGCCAGTGAGGATAAAAGTTATGGTGAGAATAAAACTTTCATATACATTTAACGACATTTATTTATTTATTTTTATCATCATGACCGAAATTTTAACAAATTCATGCATATGTCTTTGAATAATCATATTTATATGCAAAATTACTGATAATCACATTCATATGCATATTTGTCCAAATCGTCACTCGATTTCCTCAATATTTGTCCAAAATTCCAACTATTATTAGTGGATTTGTTTAACCTTTATTCCAACTTGCTCAATTTTTCAGTTATAGTAATTATTAGTAACTCAGATAACCACATGCATATGAATGTGATTATTAGTAACTCAAAACCTCCACTCAGGGACAGACTCGAGAATTTTTGGATACAGTGACACCATATAAAACGGTTGCACCTTCTAAAACAAAACGATTGCACATTCTAAAACAAAACGATTGCACCTTTCACGAACCTAATTTTTTTCCTTACTACGAAGGAACAATACAGTGGCACGTGCCACCTAAAAGAAAACTGTCAAGATTTATGAATTTCATTAGATGATAGTATATAATTGTTGGTTGTTACGAAAGTTTAAGAAAACGAGAACATGCCAAAATCAGTGAAAGTTTTTTCTAATATGAAACTAGGGGGTGAGAACAGTGTGCTCATACCACATGACATGGCTAGTGAACTCCGTTTGTCACGGACGAGGAGTACGGGTATGGGACACAGATGATATTTCTGTTAACATTTGGTAAGTTATAATACCCGAGAAGAATTTTTGATTCGAGCTGTTTAGTTGTATATGACGACAACCATGGACGTGAAAACACAGGTGGCTGGGAATTCTAGCATTTGGAGCTGGATGGCACAACAACCATCACGCATTTGAGTACTCAGCAAGACACGGGTTAGAATGGTGGCAGATCGATTTCACATGGTATGTGATCCGTCTTCTTGAGATTACAGGGTTGGCCACCGATATTAAGCTACCGACTCCGATGGATATGCAAAGAAAGGCTTTGCCTTCCAAAATATATTAGGGTTTTTGCACTTGTACTGTTGTGTTTATAAGTTACAACACTTCATTTTAAAGTATTAATTCCAAGTTTCAATTGTTGTGATAAAATTCTTGAAAACGCTGGACATGTGTCCGATGAAAATAGTGTCAAAAACGAAGGGGTTGTTTGGTTCATGAAACCATGAGGAATCGAAAAGGCAGATTATTTTGTCTGATAGAAATTAGAGAGACACCAAGATCAGATATGGTTTGACATTCGTTTATGAAAGACCCTAAATAATGTAAAATTAGACCCAAAATTTTGGAGGCCCAGTTCAGAATCACACATTTAACATATTAAAGAACGACCTTCCTTTAAATTCGATGGCTGATGGAATTTCCTAAATGCTTGGAATTAAGTTTCTATTTTTTAAAATGACAAAATTAACCTCAATCCTACTATTCATTTTAATATTATTATACGTCCTCACCTTTTCACTACCGTCACCACCACCACGGCTGTTCTCATCAACGCCACCATCATCGTCGCCGTTGACACTACCACCTCCGTCACCACCAACGCCAATTAATAATATTATTAATCTTATCAATAATATTTATAATTTAAAAAGGTATGGATATGTTGTAAAGAGGTATTATGGGTTTTTATCACTAACATCATTACAACAATTCAAGAGTTACATTATACGACCAATAAACAAATTCTAATTTTTTGACAGATTTTATTTCTTGAAAATGTCGGACACGTGTCCCATGAAAACAGTATATGTCAAATAAACAAATTCTGATTTTTTTGGATGATTTGCTTTGAAAATTTATTGTAGAAATTTAAAAGATTAGAGATAACTGATTTTTGAAGGTGTATTATATTTTTTAAAACTGTGTTAGTTATTTTATGTGGTTTTTAGATACCTGTATGTATTAACTGTCAAAATACTTCCGCAACTAGCAAAACTGCTACTTGCTGAGCCAAACTATTTACAGATTTGGTTCATGTATTTGCAGACCATGTTCAGTTTTTTTGTACACTTTGACCCCTTCGCAAGTTGAGGAGTTGTTGCTTACGAAGGTAGGGACATTTTTGGAAATTTTCGGAGAAAAATTGCTAAGAAGTAGAATTTGACCGTAAAATTGGCTATTTTGAGCAATTTCCTGTATTTGGAATTTAAACCTCAATATCTGGATTATATCATTTTATTTTTATTTTATTTTATTTTATGGTAATTTATATAAACAAAGTATTTACCAAAATTAATTTATTTTATGCACTTGATTATTGTATATTGATTTGGTACTTATGGTTTGTCGAAAATTAACGATTTTCGTTCCTCTAGTTTTAAAATTATGAGACAGCTATTATGGTTTGTAAAAACGTTCGGATTTGATCTCTTCTTTTAAAGATCATTAAAAAGATCAGTTAAATTGGGAACGTTTTCGTCCTTTTATTGATTTTTTTTTTTGGATTTTAAACGATCAAAATCGATTTTATGATTTGGTCAATGTGGTTTTTGATTGGGTAAGTGACAAAAAATCGATATAAAGATGAACATGCTCTTCATTTAACGAAATTTTTAACAGTCGCTAGAGAGAGGGACCAAATCCGGACGTTTTTACAGACCATGATGATCATAGATGGAAGAAGCGTGTTTGAGACAGTTTTTTCATAGATGAAAGCAACATATTTTTAATTGGGAAGGAAAGATTTGAAAAAACTTGGCTTTCTGCATAAATCTCTCATCGAAGCTTACTGAATAAGCTACTTTTTATATCATTAAGCCACTACCAAACAACCATATAAATTTGACCGAATAAACTATGAGTCTCATTAAATTGTTAACAAACAGGTCAATTAACTCCAGTAATGAAAATACTTGTACAAGTATATTACTGCGGTGCTGTTTGTACGTCACAACCTGACTAACCTAATCCACATAGGTTGGGTTCGGTCCGGGATATATTATACTTTAAATGTTAACAACTTCAGATTTTTCAAACCACACTAATTGGATTTGATTGAACTGTTCAAACACCTTCAAACCAGATAACCTAACCCTAAATACAATAAGTCAAACATCTCATATTTGACCTAGAAATCATATCATCCAAAATATGAATTGGTCCAACCATTGATGCCTCAATAGTCTTCGTCGGCCCAATTAAGACCATCTTGTTGGGCCCGATTGGACTAGGCTTAATATCGGCCCAACTATAAAATTTTAAAATATTTTATTTTTTATTACATGATTTGCAAAAAAAATAATATAAAATCAAAAATTAAAAACCAATCTTTTTATTTTCTAAATAAAAAAAATGCAAAATGAGTATAAAAATTGGTTTGATATATTAATGTAAATGATATTATAATTTTATTAATTAAATAATCCAAAAGTATTGTAACAAGATTAAAAATAAATACTAAAAGGCCAGTGGTATCGTAACATTTGGCCTTTTAGAATGTCAGGGGTTCAAACCTTACCAAAGATGAGAAAAGTATGTAAGTTTATTTGTTGCATTTGTTGTATATAAATATTATATACTTCAAAAAAAATTAAAAATAAATAAATTTAGTTTATGAGTAAAATATTTTTGACATTTATTTGGACATATTAAAAAGAAATTGTATTTTCGAATGGTACCGCTTTTCAGATTGTGTGTTAGACAAGGACAAAATGGTCCATACTAGTATAAGGTTAATAGTAAACTCTAAATGAAGGTGTTTGGGATTGCTTATTTAAAACAACTTATGTTTTTTTTTATAAAAGTGCTTATTAACTTATGTGGTATCAAACTGGAGTTTTGTAAAATGTGTTTGGATTAGCTTATAGCGGTACCAAAAAGTAATAAGCTGATAAGTTGTTTTTTAGTGTTTGACAAATTTTGCTTATATATATAAAATGACCAAAAAGGATAATCTTCCATATTATTGACTTATTTGATTTTTTAACATGTAAACATTTATTTTTCATCATTTATAATAATATCTTTGACAAAAATTTATATCAATAAGATTAATAATTTATATCGTTAAGATTAATAATTTACAAACATTAATAAAATAGGGTTAAAATGATAAACTGGTAATAAGCAGTTTTTCATAAGTCAGGAAAGATTAAGTTATCAAAAACTGTTTATTACCAGTTTGGCACCGGTATAAGCAGATTTATTTTTTCTCATCCAAACACTAGCATTTAGCTTATCATCGGTGCCAGACTGAAATAAGTCAAAAAGCACCTAAAATAAGCAATCACAAACACCCCCTTATCGGGTTTGGGGACATCTTATCGGGGATGGGGCGGGGATCGGGAACATATTCGGGGATTTTAACGGGTTCACCGCCCCGATCCGATATGTGTATATATATTAATTTTAATTTATACACACACACACACACACACACACACACACATATATATATATATATATAACAAAATACTAACATTAAAATTTAAAAGACTTTTATTCATTTTAGCTCAGCACCTAAATAAGGCTCACAAAAAAATCTAGTTTTGTCTAACCGTGAAATCGTGATGTTAGTTGTTTGATGTTTGAATTTTTGTTTAATTTTATATTGTAATCAAAGATGTTGTTTGTAATTGGTTTGATTATATTTGAGACATTTAAACTTACATCTTAAAAAAAATTGTAATTTACTTTTAGTTGTGAAACTTAACATTTTGTAATTTATTTTAGATCGGTTCGGGTTTCGGGTTCGGATATAACCAACGACGAACGGGGAAACCAACAGTAAAAGAGAGATTTTTACCCTTAACTGGTTCACCCAACAGGGATCAGGATGGTTAACGGAACAGTTTTAATTATCGATTTCGGGGACGGGGATACAAATAACCAGTCCGAACCCGGCCCTGTTGCCAATCATAGACAATGACCTATTTCTAAAAAGTCTGTCAAACAACATCAATAATGACCCAAAAGTATAATTTAAAACTGATAAAAAAGAAATTTTATACCAGCCAATCAAAATAGTAACCATACTAATAAGTTTGATAAAGCTGACTGTTTGAAACAGTTTTTAATAGATTGAAGAAACATGTTTTTTTAAATTATAAGAGATGGATTTGAGAAAACTTGGCCTTTTACATAAAAATTTTCTTGGAAACTTACTTAATAAGTCATTTTCTATGTCATTAAGTTATTACCAAATAATCATATATAACTGATCGAATAATGTATTAAACTGTTAACAAACGTACATATAAATACTTTTATCCAAAATGAAACCAAAAAGTTTGATAAATTTTTAATATATAAAAATAAATAAAAAATAAAAAGAAAAACATTAAATAATAAAAATGAATATTGTCTGACAGAAAGAACGCAGGCATGTGAGAGTATGGGACGAGGATTCAACCACACAACACAGCCATAAAGGAGAAGTATTTGGTCTACAACTGTATTGTAGTTTACTCGGATAAGTGAATACCAAATTATGTTATCTTATTAGATAAATATGGTAAAAATCAAGAATTTTTCCCGATAAGAGTGACACAAAGACAAAGAGTCTTACCCGATAAGTGAGGGGCACGACCCTTACCATGGTAAGAGTTTACCGGGTAAATTGTTGCATACAATATCATTTTGGTGGACAAAAATCTTATCCGTTAAGTAAATGATAATGTTAAATTTTACCGGTAAACGCTTACTGGGTAAGTGTTTGGTAAACGACCCCTTAGTTCAGTTATGTTGCATTATTTGGTGTTCACAATGTATTCACTTGTTTGCATAAATAAACTAAAGTTTTAGTTCAATTGTTGTTTTCAATACGTTAACTAGGGATGTGTAGAAAATCAACTGATCCAATTGAAACCGACTGGTCCAATTAGAATCAACCGACCATAATTTGATCGGATCGGATTGATAAATTTCGACATCCAATTTGGATCGGTCGGTTCTTGGATGACAGTCTAGAACTGACCAAAAACGAACCGAACCGATCAACATCTAATTACCTATCCAATTAATCATCCGACCAGTTCCATTATCCAACTATCATTCAATTAATTT